CTCAGTCACCGGCTGCCCATAATCCACTTCAACCTCACTTTCTTCACTCGTCGGTCAGATCAATGATCTCAGCGGCGCGGACCTGCGTCGCCGTCGGCTGCTCTTTTGGTGACGTCGGTATCACCTGTCCACAGTATCGAACTACGCGAACTTCTCGAATATCTACCTACGGCAAGGATTCAATCAGATCCAGGTGATAGCTCTGCATGTGGAGCAGTGCAAGCAAATCAATCGCTGAAGCAAGAAAATGGCACTCGAGCCTACTGTCACACGCTTTCCAATTACTATTTGGTACTGTACCAAGAAAAACAAATGACCAAACAAGTATTTTCATGCCAGGTCTGTATACTTGTACCGGTATTATACATTTGCTTTCACATTGATACTACACCGTTCGTTGCCTTTCATTTCGGTCGTTGAAATTAAGGTTTCATTGCAAGAACACGCGCAAGGGACACTCGGCCCCCTTGATTCAGCAGTTTTTACTTCAGCAGTACGCAACCTTACCGAACCGCGTAATTTCATTTTTCCGCACTCTTAATGACATCGATAATTGGTCAGTCAGGAGCGTTTGCTGATTGAAGTAGCTGTTGATCAGTGGAACGCGACGTTTAGGCTGCATGATCGGCTTGGGGAACAAGTTTCAGATTTGTGGGGACGCACTCAATTTTTGAACACTTTACTGTGTTATGCATGTCTGGTCATAGTCATGAACGTCTACTGTGTTGCGCGAACTATGATGCGCAATGCCCTGCCACTATAGAAAATATGCCTTAATTTATTGGGTACAGCATAATCCTTAAAAGGATTAAAAAAAATGCTCAGAAGCAAAAAATTAAAAAAAAAAGACGTTTTCACATGTCCCGGCTCACACGTAGGCATCAGCAGTTGCAAGAATGGATTACGCGGGTTGCTTCAAGTTACCATCATTCCGCACTACAACTTGACTTTCTGTCGAGCTGATTGCAACGATGCAGACTCTGCACTGCATCTCAGAGTATACATACTTGTACGCTTCCGACCCCGCCCCACGCTCGTCAGATCTCAATTGACCTCCGACACCACAAGCCAATAACCGCAGCCGAAGATCCGACCAAGATGACTACGCGAACTCTAGAGATCAGGACGACTGATGTCGAGTTGCAGCATTCGCTGTCCCTCCCGACTGAAGATGGACAGATCATCACAATGGTCCAATTGCAGGCGACAGCGGCCTCGCTGCTTCCCGACAAGGAGTTCTCGCTCTGCTATACGGACTCCGACGGAGACCGCGTGGCCATCACCAACGATGCCGACCTGAAAGAACTCGATAAATTCATGCAGGACGAACAGTTGCAGTGTGTTGATGTGCTGGTCGAGCCACAAGTGCCAGTCACGGCTAAACGCGCTGCCACCGCTGTCAAGACGCAGTTGCGTGGACTCGTCACTGCCATGTCGAAGCTGACAGCCAAGCCCGAGACGACGCCCACGCCCTCGAGCGCGATGGACCTACTGGTAACCAGTCTACAGGCCATGGACGTAGCCGGAAGTGCCGTGGAACTAGAAACAATCAAGAAAGAACTATTGTTGATACTGCAAGACGAGGCCTTCCGTTCGGTAGTTCTAGAGTTTAGTGCCACTGAAGAGTTCAAGGACCTCGTGGATGCGATGGTCGCAGCTATCTACGAAGAAGACGCGCAGTCCATCGAGGACACAGTCACGGCACGATTCGACGAGCTGCTGGTGTTCACTCAACGCGTTGTGGCACGCTGTCCGTCACTCAAACCGGTGATGGTGAGTGTGGCCAAGTCACTGATGACCAGCTTGGTGCGCAACAACGATAACGAGATGGACGGCAACACATCGGACTCGCCCAGCTGCAGCAGCTCCAGTTCCTGCTGCAGCGACGACCAGGAGACGGTGGACATCGAAGTGCTAGCAGAAGAAGTACCGCTACATTCGGGCATCGTCTGTGACGGCTGTGAGAAGTCCCCACTCGTGGGTGTGCGCTACAAGTCGCTTGAGGTGCCCAACTTCGACTTGTGCGAAGAGTGCGAGGCCAGTGGCAACTTCATTCGCTTCGAGCCATTTCTCAAGATCACGGATCCGTCACGCACGCCCAAACTGAAACGTACCTCCGAACTCGTGCATCTTTGTGTCACGTGCGACGGGTGCGAGATGAACCCCATCGTTGGTGTCCGCTTCAAGTCCCAGACGAAGGAGAACTTCGACCTGTGTGAGAGCTGCGAAGCCAGTGGCAAGTGGACGGAGTCGCACGGACCGTTCACGAAGATCGAGGAGCCGGCCGTGATGCGCGCTCTCAAGTTTACTTGTCGTCGTGGCGGCAAGTTCGGTCACCACGGGAAATTTGGCCGTCATCACCACGGTCATGGCCACCACGGTCATGACCACCACAGGAAATTCGGGCGTCACTCTGGCAAATTTGGCCATGGAAACCATCATCGTGGACGCGGTAAGTTCGGCCGTCACGGCCACTGCCACGGATCTCCTGACTTTACGTTCCATGGACACCATCCCGATCACCATGGTCCACCAGGTTTCCCTGGTTACGAGTTTCCCGGGCATGGCTTCCCATTCCACCACGAAGGCCACACTGAGTTTGCCAGACACTTCCACGGTCACCATGGCCATAGTTCTGGGTTCGACGATCGTCGTCACCACGGCCACCCCGGGTTCAGTCCTCCAGGCCACTTCGGTCGCTTTGGTCGCTTCGGTCCGCCTCCTTTTGAATCCATGGACCCACGTGAATCGCCGATCTCTCGAGGTTTCGAGCACGGTCGTCCACCTTTCCCCACGGAGTTTGAGCATTGGGGGCACCCCAGTTTCCGCGAACACCGTGGACGTCACGGCCATCACATGCGATTCTCGGACCAAGGCGACGAAAACAAAAAGCACAAAGAAGAAGAAGAAGGAGATCGTCCGTACCACTGGCACCACGGCTGCCATGGACGTGGACGTTGGGGACGTGGCGTAACTAATGAAGCAGCGCAAGAAGCTGCTGCGACTGAGGCCAAACTCTCCACCGATGAAGACAAGATCGACTACAGCGAGGCGCTGAAGCAGCTCGCGTCGATGGGTTTCAACGACATTGAGAAGAATATGTTGGCCCTAGAGTTAGCTCGTGGCAATGTTGGTGGGGCTGTGAATGCTCTATTGTCAGAGTGAAAAGTGTAAGTCGATTTCGAGTACCCAAACCCACAACGTACAAGGTACAAGGTACCGTAATCGAAAAGCAAAAAATCTGCAAAGGGAAAAGCCAAGAAACACAAGTAAAAGCTGTGGCCGCTGCCATACCTTCACGACAGAAAGACAATCCAACAAAACTCAAAATCAAGAAAAAAAAAAAAAACCGTGTAGCAGCTTCCCCCGGCTTGGATGCATTTACATATTTTCATGCAACTATCATGCTTATAACAAAGAAAACTAAACAGTATAAACCCCTTGCGAATCAGTATTTTTTTGTAAATTCGATTACTTTTCAGTAGCCAACTAATACTTCGTACTTGCAGTATCCTAAATCAAGGTGTGTGCACGCAATGTATCACCTACGTTAACCTTCTTTCAGCTTGTATGCACTGCCAACATATTGCCATTTAATTTGCTGCATTTATCAGCTACGTCCTCTTCGGGTTTGCGACCGTCACAACATGGAATCGGGTTCCGTACGGCAGGCGGTATGGGTTAAAATCCTGGCAAAGACACTCAAATCAATACAGCCCCTACCAGAAAAAAATAAAATCTCCTTACCTCCGTCGCCTGGAAAGTATCGATGAAGATAATCTCGCCGCAAATGTATGCGGGCGGTGTGCGGTCGCTGCCCACACCCAAAATCGCTGCTTGAATCGACTCGTTTGCCAAATAATAATTCGGAGCTCCTTCATTGAAAGCCACGTACGGCAACTTCCCTCCCTTCAGGAAAAACAACGCCAGCGAACTGATCTGGAAGCTACGGAACGATATCCGTTGGTGCTCAGTCTGACCGTGACAAACCTCAGCTGAAGGTTGGTCACTTGTAACCCCATGCAATCCATTTTCCTCGACATCACTGACCACTGTGCGTCCTGTGAGGACCTGCGAGAGCGGCAATTCATCAGAAGCAGACGAGCTGTCCGCCGTCCCCAAACTGCCATTGGCATCGTGAGATGAAGTGGCCAGCGGAGTGACAGACACCACGTGGTACTTGGTTCCTTCACGAAGACAGTACGGGTTCAATTTCTGCGAATAAAACATTAAAAACCGGTCAGTATTAATCTATGAAAAATAGTGCAACAGATCAGCCATACATCAGTCGTTTCATGGTCTTCAATGTAGACAATATGTCCAAGAACATACGGAGGGTTTCTGTAAGGATAAAAGTTAGAAAATGAGCCCGCTACCGCCGTCGTTGTGCACTTAAACGTACCTGTCATCTTTCTTAGAAACGGCGATCGATTCCTCTGACAAATAATAGTGCGGGCACCCCTCGTGGAAAGCAATATAGTCGCCAAATGGCGTGGGAACGAACAGCGCCACGCTGCCACACGAAAAGCTCTTGTAGCAGATGCCCAAAAGTTCTTCAAGGCGATTGTCGTCAGTCACCCACTGACGACGCTCACCGACCAGCCAATTGTCGTTCTTTGCTGCTGGAATCACTCCACGGTCCGGCATCTTCGTTTCCAACAACTTGTCCGTCGGCACTGGATCAGTTGCGATTTTCCCGTTTCGAGGAGAAGATGTGTCGATCACCACGTCCCTAATCTCGATGCCTCCATCGACTATAGTGGAGCCAGTGTCCACGACAGGAACGTGCTCTTTCGTGTGCTGCTTGTCATCCAAATCCACGTTCAGGTCCTGGCCGTCCAGAATCTTCCGACCCACGTCTTCATACTCGTTCTCCACCATCACATATTCGTCACTGAAGGTAGCCCAGTCCTCTACATGACCACTTTCGTCAGTAACATACGTATAAGACATAATTAACAACATCAAAATTGTACCGTATTCAGGTTGTTTCTCCGCCACGAGTGGCTGCTTCGTCTCCGAGCTCTCCAAATTCGCATTGTCTGTAGCTGTGTCCGCATCTGACGGAGCCGGTGGCAACAGAAACGGAGCACGGAAGAAATCTTCGAACGACACTCTTTTGCGCGGATCTACCCGTAATAGCGCTTCCACTAGCTGCTCACACTCAGGAGAGACCTTGACGTTCGTCGGTAGTCGAACGCGGCCGTAGCGCTCAAAATATCGGTAAATATTCCGACGTAGTGCCAGGTGATTGGTCGCGTGGACCTTGTCCACAACGAGGAACGGGTGCTCGTTCACCAGCATCTCGTACAGGATGATTCCAACCGACCACAAGTCCGCTTTGGCGTCGTAGCTCTTGTACTCCAACAACTCCGGCGCCATGTACAGCGGCGAGCCCACGACACTCTCAGCCATCATCTCCGACTCCAGCTCTCGCGCAAACCCAAAATCCGCTACAAAATATACAAACGTCAGCAAAATACTCCTCACAATATTTCATTAAGTTCCCGCACCAATTTTCAACTTGGCGGTCGCCATGTTCCGCGACGACAGCAACAAATTGGCAGGTTTCAGATCCCGATGCACCACATTCTGTGAGCGGAGAAATTGCAGCCCAGATGCTACAGCATCATAACGTTAAATGCCAAATATTCAGCATCTCACTGCCTCAGCTTTCAATCACTCACCCAGCTGCGACATATAAAGTCGGGCCTGCTCTTCCGTTAGGCCGTTGTTTGCCTTCATCAGCTGTGCAATATCTCCGCCAGCACAATATTCCTGCAAGCAACAATAGATCAGCATGATTTCTTCTCTCCTCCTCTCAATTCCTGACCGACCTGGACGATAAAGATGTGATGCTGCGATTCCTTAGTGCACAACAGGCGGACAATATGCGGGTGGCCGTTCTCGAACTGCTCTACAGCCACGCGCATGGTCTCGATCTCCTTTTCGATGCTCTGACGTTCATGTGGCCGTCGCAATTTGTCCTTGCCGATCATCTTGACTGCTACAGCTGCTCCAGACGACAAATTGATCGCCTTGTGCACCTAAAACGTCGACCCAGCGGATGGAAATTAGTCTGCATTATCTTTTGTTTGAAGTGATGTTTGTCTTAGCGTACGGTGCCGTAGGAACCGCGGCCGATCGTCTCTACCAGGCTGCACGAACACAAACATAAATCAACAAAGATTTTGCCTAAATCGCTTCGTTTTACGACGCAATTTCAAGGGGAATAAGCTGCAGCTGCACCACGTACCGGAACACGTTGCCACACACTGTGATTGTCTGTCCACTGGCGCTGCTCATGCTGCTCGTGAGTCCCTCCACGGTGCCTCTCCGTCCGAGTCTGCTTCTCTCGCTCAAGAATCAAAAAGTATTCAGTATACTGGGTTCTGGGTGGGCAAACCTAGCCCGTATTCCATATACAAGGCAATTTGGGTGCAAAAACGTCAAATTGAAGTTGAAGGGTACACTGGATGGCTACACTGCTTCGCCTGCCACCGGAACTTGCTCCTCGTCCTCCTCCTCTTCTTCATCGTCTTGCTTCTCGTCACCGTCGTCGTTGTTGCCATATTCATTAACGCCGTCGAGATCTTGCTCGTTCCCGTCAAGTTCCCCGTCTTCTTCTTCGTCGTCGCTGCCGTAGAGCTTCTGCTGTTCGGCCGCGATTTTCTGACGCTGCTCTTCCTCGAGTTTGCGAGCTTCCTCCTGCGCATCTTGCAGCACGCGACCGCGAGTCTCTTGCTCCTGTTTCTCCTTGGCACGCTTGGCTTCCTCTTTCTTGTGCGTCCACTGGTCGAGCTTGTCTTGCCGCATGCGCGCTGTCTTCTCGTTCACGAAGAAGACCACAGCGGCGATGAACACAACCCAGAATGCAGCCACCTCGTACTGCGAGAAGATATACAGCGTTGGCGACATGGACAGACACGATTCGAAGCCCGAGCTCGTGGCTGTGACGGCCTGTAGAGTGCCGTAGAGTCCCCACCAGACCACACACACGATGCCGTAGACGAGGTAGAAGACACGCACGGTACGCAGACTCTTGATCGGCCATGGACCCATCCAGCAGTATGTGTAGAACCACACGAGGATGTGGCTTAGCACCACCGCGCCCTGCATGAATCCTGAACGGACATACAGCAGCCAGCCACCCATTAATGAGCTTCTCCCGCCCTCAGCGGAACAGCGAACATTACCGTGCTCAGATTAAAATGCAGACGCACTCATAAGATCAGCATTGCAGTCGTTGGTGGCCACGTTGATGATCACCCCACCGAAAACGATGGTCGTGAGGGCCAGACATACTGGCACGAGTGGAAACAGCAGCAGGATCCGAGCCCAGTACTTGGTCTTCTCGCGCTCCATGGTGATGCGCGTCGCGAGGTCATATTGCACCTACGGTCCGCATCCAACGAACCTATGTCAGTGAAATCTGCAGCTCGTGTCACGCGCAGTATCAGCAGAAGAGGGGTCAATGCAAACAGACAACGGACCGGGGGCTTCTTTTTTCGACGCGTGGCGAACGATGTGGTGCGCTTCGGATGCAGCTCCACCGTGTTCGTCTGCTGCTCATCGTTGTTCGCCATCGCGGAAGATATTCGTCGTCGTGGGCGCGTCTCCTAGGTACGGGTGCTGGATCTTGAAAGGTTTCTCACACCTGAAACCGGCAAATCGCACAGAGCCCATGTGCTTTTTGTGACATGGGTCGGCTCTATTGTTGACTCGAGCGTTTTGGCATGGCGTTGTCGTCTCCGACACGCGTGCTGGCAGGCCGTCGCATGGTGTCATGGCAAGCACCAATGCTCATTGGTCATTGGACGAAGGCACCACCGTGCCGCGAGCCGATTTGCATGAATAGCTACGCGCTGGGCGCGTGGTACGCTGAAGCTGAAGCTGTAGGACGGACTAGAACAAGATGTGACTTCTCGCGCCAAAAACGCTTGCTGTCGTCGCCGCGAGCGCGCCACCTGGCGACGATAGTCCACCTCGGACCATGATGTCATTGCCATCTTGAGCCTATTGCATTCAACAACTCGAAGAGAAGCACGCGCCTCTCGGCAATAGAAAAGCCCGAGATCAATGCCCCTATTCGCTGATCTAGGCGCCACATGCAATTTCCTGAGAAAACGAAGCAGAAAGTAGAATAATCTTGGTGAAGCTCCGCCTCGAAAGATGCGGGCGGCAAATTCGCAGCCTTTAAACTGTAACCAACCAGATGTCTACCGTAGAGACGACAGCGATTTCCGATTTTTCAGAAAACCCGCAAAAGACAAAGCCCCAACTTGGAAGCCATTTGGCCATTTTCTTCGTCACGCGCAGTTCTCATCGCGCGCACCGACAGCTTAGACAAAAGAAAACTATGGGCCAATCCACGTCTATCCAGGAAGACAAGATGAAGAAGCGTATTCGACAGGCCATGGGCACGTTCATGGACTTCGGCACGCACCTGAAGAATGCGAACGAGTGGTACGCCAAGTTGAAGTCGACCATGAGAAAAAAAAACTTTCTTGACTAACCAGTCTCGTTCTTCCAATCCAGGGCTCGGATCTGCACGACGCCCAAGAACTGCTACCTGTCGTTCCGCATCGTGATCGACCCGAACGTGTCGGCTGAACTGCTGCCGTATTTGTGGCGGATCCACGGTAATGTGGCTGTCGAGGTGCGGAAGATGCGGCGTCCCGTGGAAATGCAGCTGAATCTGGGCGAGTTCCGCTTGGACATACCGCGTGACCCAACGTACGAGCCTGAGAACTCCGAGACCATCGGTCAGGCCAAGACGCTGACTATCGCTCAGTTCTATTACATCTACTGCTTCCTGTCCGACGTTAAGGCGTGTGCCGCACACACCGTACGCTTCCCCGAGAAGACCACCAGGTATGTTGGAGCGACGTGTTGAAGAAACTGCGACCAGGGTTGAACATGAGACTAACGTGGCTATTGAATTTATAGTACTGGGGAGACGGACTTTGACGAAACCGAGTGCCAGATCTGCATGGACAAGAAGAAACAGGTCGCCTTGCCCTGCGCACATAGCTTTTGCCTGAACTGCTTCCAGCACTGGAGCACACAGAGCCAAACGTGCCCTATCTGCCGCGCCAAATTCAACTGCTCCGAGGGCGACGAACTGTGGCAACTTACTTCGGACGAGGTGGAAGATCTGGGCTCTTACGCAACAGATTTGGTGGCTCGGATCTACGAGTATCTGGACAAGCGCGACAGGTCGAAACACACGGAAGAAGACATCAAGAGATCCGCGGAGCTTTACGCAGCCGCGCTTGCTGTAAAGCAGACGCCACTGCGCAAGTTTGTGCATACAGACCTGTTCCCGACGGCGCTGCCGCTGGGATTCCCGTCGATCTTGCGCAGTGGAATTCGTCTCGCGACAGAATTCGACTCAGATCTGATGTTGGCGCTCGAGTTGGCGTCGGGTGAGGACCAGTACGCGGCGATGCAGCACTTTGAGCAACTTCAGCGGGACCAAATGCTCGCAGTAACGATGGCCATGCAGGCGGAGGCTGAAGAGAGTCCGGACGAGTCGTGACGGAGAGCGGGTCTTATTTATCGAGAAGAGAAGGAAGTATCATATTGCGGAGCTAATGCGGTCACTATTCGGTGACTGCAACAACAGGGTGGACAGGACGGAATGTCGAATAGGGAATCCAAAACAGGCGGGCTAGGCTCTCGTCGAGAAGAGTAGGTAGCATTAGGAAGTAAATCACTAGCTTTATGTCTGTGAAGTGTTAATGCACGTAGTTTGTTTGCCGGTGAAACCCTTGTATCGACACAGTACTTCAGCGTTCTTCGCGCATCCTGCTGAGATATTCGCGGCTGAATTTGTTTAACAACTTGGATCTATTAAATGATCGTATTGATACATGTAGGATTTCTAAAGGCGCAACTCCGCGGGACATGCGCTTGGGGTCTCGTTCTCACGTTCTGTTTGCAGTTGCACACCAGCAAATGTTGTAAAGGGCCAAAGCCTGTAACAAAGGTTGGAAGCTGCGCTGCAGCCCAAAATGGTAACATGATGGTTAAGCCATGTGTACTTTTCCAACTTCAAGTTCGTCCATGTCATTTGATAGCTCCATTCTATGCTGTTTATTAGGATGGGATCAGATCTGATAATTTATTAGGATGGGATCAGATCTGATAAACCGAGATTCAAGCCAAACGTGAAAACTTCAACCAGAGAGACATACGCTTCGTCGACCTTCCCCATTATCCATCGCTATCGATTGCCGACGATGCTGCTGAACCTCCTGGGCGCCTCGGCGCGACGCTCGCTTCTCCTGTCTCCTGGCCGCACATTCGCCTCGCGGGCGGGCGCGCTCGGCTCCTTCTCCAATGTGCTGGATGGCGCTCTCAACGTCAAGTCGGCGCAGTTCCAAGAATCCCAGGCGAATATGGCCAAACTCACGGCCGAGCTGAAGGAACGCGTGGCCAAGGCGCGTCAGGGTGGAGGAGAATCTGCACGGAAGCGCCACGAGTCCCGAGGCAAGATGCCTGTCCGCGACCGCATCGACTCACTGCTGGATCCAGGTTCGCCCTTCCTGGAACTGTCGCCGCTGGCTGCGTACGACATGTACGGGGGCGACGTACCCAGCGCCGGCATCGTCACGGGTATCGGCCGCATCAATGGCGTCGAATGTATGATCCTAGGCAACGACGCCACAGTCAAGGGCGGCACTTACTTCCCTCTGACCGTCAAGAAGCATCTTCGAGCTCAGGAGATCGCGCAAGAGAACCGTCTACCATGTGTCTACCTCGTGGACTCTGGCGGTGCCTTCTTACCGCTGCAGGCCGACATTTTCCCGGACCGCGACCACTTTGGCCGTGAGTTCTACAACCAAGCGACCATGTCGGCCATGGGCATCCCGCAGATCGCTGTGGTTATGGGCAGTTGCACGGCTGGAGGAGCGTACGTGCCGGCCATGTCGGACGAGAGCGTCATTGTGAAGGGAAACGGTACAGTGTTCCTCGGAGGACCGCCACTCGTCAAGGCAGCGACAGGTGAAGTCATCACGCCCGAGGAACTGGGCGGCGCCGATGTGCATTGCCGCACGTCCGGCGTGACCGATCACTACGCCAACAATGACGCTCATGCGCTGGACATCACACGACGTATCGTCAGCAATTTGAACTACCGCAAGGAGCCTGCTGTTACTCAAACACCAATTGAGGAACCGATCTACTCGCCCGATGAACTGGGCGGTGTGATTCCTGTGGATTCTCGCAAGCCTTTCGACGTGAGGAAAGTGATCGCCCGTATTGTGGACGGCAGTCGCTTCGACGAGTTTAAGAAAGAGTATGGACCTACCATCGTCACTGGCTTTGCACGTCTGTACGGGAACCCTGTCGGTATTGTGGCAAACAACGGTATTCTCTTCTCCGAGTCGTCTGTGAAGGCTGCACATTTCATCGAGCTATGCAGCCAACGCGGCATTCCTCTGCTGTTCCTGCAGAACATCACCGGTTTTATGGTCGGTAAGAAGGCCGAGCACGGCGGTATCGCTAAGGACGGAGCAAAGATGGTCATGGCCGTCTCGAACGCTAAAGTACCGAAGATTACGTGCATCATTGGCGGCTCTTACGGTGCCGGCAATTACGGTATGTGCGGCCGTGCGTTCTCTCCTCGCTTCCTGTACATGTGGCCGAACGCCCGTATCTCCGTCATGGGTGGCGAGCAGGCTGCTGGTGTGCTGGCTCAAGTGCAGCGTGACAACTATGAGCGTCGTAAGGAGACCTGGTCCGCCGAAGAAGAAGCTGCCTTCAAGCAGCCGATTCTGGACAAGTACGAGAAGGAGAGCTCAGCGTACTACTCGACGGCTCGACTCTGGGATGACGGCATTATCGACCCCAAGGATACGCGTAAGGTGCTTGGACTGAGTCTCAGCGCTGCGCTCAACGAGAAACCTCAGGAAACAAAGTTTGGCGTCTTCCGCATGTGAAACGGATGTTCAGCAAGAGAAAAGCTGTTAATTGTCAATATCTCTTCTCTATTGTCACGTTGCATGCAGTCTAGGCTTACGAAGGAAGCACTTGTTGACGCAGGAACACGAACACGAAAGCAGAGTATCAATTCCTGCTTGAAAATCAAACGAAGCACAGTTCGGGGCGCCCTGAACTGGATGAGAGAGAACTGATGTAGTTTACGCCTGCTTCTCGGCGGCCTTCTTGCTAGCTTGGAAGCGAATGCCACGCTGGAGCTGGTAGAGCTGAGCCGCTTCGTTCGAGGCGTGGCACGCCAGCAGGAGGTAGTTACGAGGTTTCACCATCCACGCGAACCGCATGAAGATCAGACTGTAGATTGACAGAGCTGCAACGACAACAATAGCAGCAGTTAGTCTCAGTCCATGCAGCTTTAGCTAACACTGTTGATACCTACCCGACGTCATGTTGATGGAGATCACATCAGCGGGTTTCCGCATATCGGCCATAGCCTGCAAGATACAATAACAACAACACAACTACCAGTCAGGCGATGTCTCGGACGAGGTTTCTCCAATTAGAAGAGAAGATGAGGGCACAAAAAGAGTCACGTACAGCGACTACGAATCCCCAGTTGGCGACAGGGCCCCAGAAGTGTGTGGTCTTGGGTCCCGTGGGACTGTTGATGAAGTAGCGGAGACGAGATGCCATTGACATGGTCTGCGGGGATCATAAGAGTAATCGTAGAACGAGAATGAACGACACATCAGTCAGAAAAATGCAGGTACGATGCAGCAGCAGCAGGAGGCGGTGGTCCTCCTCTTACACCCTCACGAAGGGCATGACCACGTACGGATCGTTGAGCGACTTGAGGGGGCCGAGAAGTGAACGAGTCCGCTTCGTTGATGCGATCGCCGTTATAAAGTGAGGCCCCAATCAGCTCGGAGCTGTCCGCACGTTTCTGTCCCAATTCCATTTCCTCCAAGCAGAGTATCGTTTTTCGCAGGGTCACGTATCCATCAACCCCACTAAATACGATTTCACCGGATGCGCCGTATCCTGCAAAACCTTATATCCTTCATCCGCCGGATTCGCCTGCGGTCATACCTCATCCGCAGTGCGAATGAAGGATATAAGGTTTTGCGGCGATTGCTCCAAATTGCTGCTCCGATGTTACTGTAATGCACGACAGTCTTGCAGGTAGCACTTCAACATGACGCCTTAATGTTTAATATGATGCTCTCAAGTCAATCGCGGTAGTTACTACATTTAATATGCGTGGCGACGTCGGAGCTGATAGTTCTGCTGCGCTACATGTACAACCTCATTGCCTTGAATCTCAACTCGTGACGGGATCACTGGATCATTCGCTTCAGTAAATCAGCCTGATGCTGAACTCATTCACTAGTCGACAAGATTCTGACACAGCACCATCAAGAACAACTGATCAAGCTCCCTCCATCAAGTACAGCCGTAACGAGCATCTCGGTCAACATTCCCTCTGTTACATGTATGTTTGGCCCCCACTTTCCAGAATGAAATTGTTCCGCTCTGGAAGCTTCTGCATTTCATATTTTATCCGGACGCTGAGATATTTTATCCGGAAAACCCAGTTGGGGGTATAGACTAGCACGTCGCATCCTTCGACTTAACTCAAGATGAAGACGCCGCATGAACAGCGACCTCGCTCGTACACAGAGCACTCGACATTACTATCCACACCGTCACCGACGCGATGGCGCCGATATCATGCAGCTCACAGACGTCACACGACTGTGCGCCAAGACATCTGGACCGTGCTGCGTTTCCGCTCTTCCGTGCAGCACCGCTACGGCCTGCAGCTCGCGTCCTACATACTGGAGCTGAGCATCCTGACGCTCATCCTACTGAATGTGGTGGTGGCAGTCTCCGAGTCCTCTATTGTGGTGGATTCCGATACAACGGCTTCTTCTTCCGGGCAGACGCCCGAGGTTAACGACTGGACGGATATTTTCTTGCTGGTGTCCACCATCATCTTCTCCATTGAGTACGCACTGAGAGTCTGGTCGTGTGTGGAAGACGATAGATTTAGTGAAGGAGCGATCAAAGGACGGTAAGAGATATGCAATGCTGCCAGTTGGCTGTAACATTAACGTTGTGCTGTAGATTAAAATGGATGACGCGGCCGCTATCGCTGATCGATCTGATGGCGTTGGTCCCGTTCTACTTGGAGCTCAGCTTGCAGTTCGAGTGCGTTGAACTGACCATTCTTACCTTCTTTTTAGCTTAGAAACGCTAATTAAGCTCGCATTCATTCATCGCAGTACACACCACCATGGAGGATTGACACTGCGAAGTCTTCGACTGCTGCGGATCGTGTCGTTTCTGCGACTAGAGCGTATGTACAACGCGATGAAGAACCTTCGAGTGATCTTTGCGCGCAAGAAGGAGGAGTTTCTAGTGGTGACATACCTCACGGCTGTGGTGGTACTGACCTCATCACTGATTATCTTCTTCATCGAGCACGTGGCTCAACCCAGCGTGTTCTCGAGCTTCGGTGTCTGCGTGTGGTGGTCAGTCGAGACCATCACATCACTGGGCTATGGCGACGTAGTGCCTATCACCAGCATGGGCCGAGCAGTGGGCGCTTTGCTTGCGCTCTGGGGCATTGTCCTGTTCACAATCCCCGGAGCAGTTTTGGGAAGCGGCTTCATCGAGGTCATGCTAGAGAAACAGCGCGCAGAGGAGGCCGAAATGTACAGCATGGCCATGGGCGGCGGAAGTCCGATTAATAACAATCCGCAGTTCGTTGGCAACTTCAGCGACGACGAACACGGGCACGAGAACTCCACGGAAACAGTAGCACATACGCCTATATCGGTGGCGTCATCGAGCAACTCGTCGACGCCGCGCGTTGCGGCTGCCATGCGAGTTGAGGCATTACATCAAAAGGTGGAGGCTATCGCGGCAGGACAGGTGGGTTTACTAGGCTTGGAGAAGTGTTGCATTCACGCCGTATTAACGAGGGTATTGTCCTGTGTGCTACATGAATTCCTTGCGTGTCGCTCAGCGCCATTTGGAGATGCACTTCCGCCAGCAACAGCAGCAGCTAGAGAGGCTCACGCGGCTCCTCGAGGTCTCCCTTGGAGTGGATGCGACCAGCGTATCGCCGCCGCCGACGCGACGGAATCACGAACCGGGGCAGCACGACCTCCCGAGATAAGTTAATGTTGATGTTGAAGTGATTCTTCAGCTTACAAATTGCAAGTAATTGCAATCTGTTGCTCACAATGATAAACTTAGTTTATCAGAAACAATACATCTCCCTGTCCAAGCCGATCAAAACCTCCAAGAAAGTATACTGAATCTGCCCAGTTTCTTGCAGCGTCGCTTCCAACCGTTTTCTGCCAATCCGATCTTGATTGGTCAAAATTCCAGCCAATCCAATCACGTCACTACAACCTGGTGCAGCACTTCATTCTCGGATATCCTCCCAGCCACCACAACTCGCAGGTCTGCCTGCTCGTTCTTCTCCCTTCGGGCCGTTCAGAGATCGCTAACATGCTGCTCGCACGCCTACGGACGACGGTGACGGTGAATCGCAACTTCCAGACTCGCGGAATCGTTAATATGCTCGGTGCTGCTACGATGAAGACGGAGAAGGCGGCTGCTCAGGCCGCTGAAGCTGCGCAGCCTCAGGAGCGCGGCGACATCGTGCTGGGTACGCTTGATAGTGGTCGTATTATAGTAAAGTCGAAGGCACTGACGCGAGTGATCACTAAACACTGCAGACGGCTTCGCTAAGCGCCAGTTTGACGACAAGACGTACTCAGGTACTCAGATCGACTTTGACAAGAAGGAGTTCGTCAAGAAGGTGAACGAGATCTATGAGGCCAACAACAAACAGCTGGTGGACGGGTATGCAGTATTACATTGTACTGGTGTTTTAAACAGAGCAACTGACATTGCTTGACGACAGCTACGCGCCGTTCTGCAAGCACTTGTTCATCAAGAACTTCACAGGTGCTCGCCTCAACATGGTGGCTATCACGCAGGCCAATGCCCACATGCTTATGTCGGACTACGAAGCCCGCACGGAATACGAACTGCCCGTGTACGTTGCTGCCTTGGAGCATGCTCATATTTGTTCAAACACTGACAGAAGTTGCGATTGTTACTGCAGACTCGGTCGTTGGTTCCCGAGCCACAGCGTGACCCCCAAGGTGGCCGAGTACCTGGACATTATCCTCTACAGCCGTGAACAGATCATCAAGGAGAACGAGGCTGTAGACGTTCCGGCCGACCCGGACCACGGCGATTCCCCATGGGGTATCGTGTCTATCAAGGCACAGGATGTGGACCACGAGTTACCCATGAAGCCTATTACCATGATGCGGAATGCTGTCGGCAAAGAGCAGGGCGGCTCCGGTGTGCCTCTCGACCGTGACGAGTACATGAAGGCGGTCGAGTACTGGCGAAACCACGCTGTGATCAAGAAAATGTAGGCGTCTGCATCCAAAGACCCACGTCGAGGGAAAGCGAGTGCCTAGGCGGTCGCATGCGAACCCAGCCTACTGATCAACGAATGAGAATGGAAAGGCAGGCTTCGCGTGCAGATATATCTCAAGGTGCATTTGATATTCATGGGATTGTTGTGTACCTGTATGCAGCTGCCTTGACAGCAGTTGTAACTCTTCTTGCGCTGCTGTTTCTAGCATGGATTCGTCTTCTGGAAGTCTTCCCACGCAGTGTTTAGTGCTGCGAAGACACGCTCCGCGATCAGCAACTGTTCAGCATTGCGTCCTCCGGATTTGTCAGGGTGCACGACGATCATGGCCTTCCGGTAGTGCTTCTTAATATCGTTCGGCTGAATGAGCTTGCCCATGTTCACCTCAGTCCACTTGCAGTCTTCCCACATGACCTGATGCATTGTTGATAGCAGCGTACGGATGTTCTTGACGCGACCATTATCCTCTGCCCACGCCTTCAGTCTGGGACCGAGAACTGCGCTGGCACTGTCCTTCATGGCGGCCATGTTACGCACCGCTTCTTCTCGTTTCCTCAAGTCTTCACGAGCACGCTCCACATCGCGTTGCACCTGTCGCTCACGTTCTTCCATGGCACGGCGTACATCGTCACTCTTGGTTGACTTGTCCACCAGGTTCGGGTTGTACACGTTGGAGCCGTCGGATGTGGATTTCGAGTGCGCCTCCATCTCTGCCATGGTCACAGGACCAACAGTCTGTCCGTTGTCATCGTCAAACTTGGGCGGATCTCTCTGCACCGCTTTCGACGGTGAAGGCTGAGCAGGCGTCGCACGAGCAGCCAGTGGGTCCATCGAGTTCAGGAAGTCCGACGTAGCGTTCGCTGGTTGTGCTGGTGTGGCTGGTGCATCGGTCCAACCACTGTCACTCATGAGGTTTACATCCTTCTTAGGCGGCGAAGGTGTTGGAGTAGCTGCAGCACCCGACGCTTTCTGGCCACCTGACAGGAAATCTTCCAGGTTACCCTGTGCCTCCGTCGTCTTGGATCCCGATCCTGTCCTTGAGACCGGTTTCTTGTCTCCAGAAGTGGACGATGTACGGCTAGACGAATTGCTATGTCGCGACTCTGCTCCGTTGCCACTTCCAGGTGCCCGATCCGAGTACTTGGCCGGCCGTCCTTGCTCGAAACCAGGCGACGATGACGATCGATGGAAGTTGCTACTTTCGCCCAACGGCTGCACAGCCTTAGCGGATTGTACACTGCTGGAGCTGTCACCCAGAGCACTGGAGCTTCCCTGGCGCTTGGGAGGTTGACTACCACTTGCCCATTTGAGCACGGGTCGGCGTCGGAAGACGAGTCCTGGCTTCTGAGGTCGCTCCAGTCGCAACAGCTTGCAGATAACGCGGCCACCCGCTAGAGGAACCTTCTGAGTGGGCTGCGTCACGTCCAACCAATAGAAAGTGTTGCCCTTGCTACTGTTGAGCCGGAAACGGAAGTGGAAGGCAGAAGGGTTGCGCAGTGGGAAGCTGCGCAGTACGTCCGCGAGCGTCACGTCAGTGCCAGGAGAGAGTCCTGTCAGTTTGAAGGCGTTTGGGTGCGAGCGATCCTCACCGTCCTCGCCCTGCAGGTAGTAAAATGCCCAAATGCCGCCCTCCATGATCGCAGACGCAGCACTCGTCGTCGACGTGGCAAGAAGCGAGCTGGTCTTGGGGAGACTTCAGACCCTGCCAAGAATAGGTACGCTGTTACGTACCCTTCAGATAGTAACTTCGATGTGGACCACATCATGACCTCACAAGAGGGTACACTCACTTACTTTATTCTTTGATCAACTACAGTAAATCATGGGCGCCAGTCTCAGGAGACGATTCCCAGCAAGACAAGAACTTCTTGTCAAGAAGAGAGGGGAATCATTTCTTTGTGTTCCAGTTAAAAGTCTGACTCTTACTTTGGGGGTATTGACCAACCTATTTTCAGAGTACTGTTGGTTTGACGTGAGCTTGCATCTACAGTGTCGACCATTCATGTACACGTAGATCGCTTTCGCTAGTTGGACTACAACGTGCAAGCTATGCTGATATTTTATAGCAAAGGAACACGGTATCATTCGACTTTACAACGTTCACACCGAGGCATCATCTTACGGATGTGATTCTCTCTCGAGCTGTACATGATAAATGATGAGATCGATTGATCAAGCTAAGGCACGGCACGATGGATCCAACTCGCGCCGTCATAGCATCGGTCGTTTCAGATTTCACCGGTGCCCAAAACTTGCAACTTGCAAGTTGTGTCTGACGCGTGCAAGGTCCAAGCGTCAGACACACGAATCAGTTTTTGAGCTCTTGCGTTTAGTATCGTCAGATGGACTATCCTTCTTCTTCTTCTTCTTCTCCGCGTCGTTTGTTCGACGTCTTCTTCCGAGGGGCTGGTGGTGGAAGCTGCTGCTGCTGGTCGTCGGCTGCTGCGGTGTTTTGTGTGGTGGGTCGTCATGATCGATGCACACAACAACGACCTCGAAGCCTCCAAGCCAAAGCTTTTCAGAGTGGTACGTATACGGTGCTGGTTACTGTGACGTTGTCATTGAGGATCTAAGGACCCGGCCTCGGCAACGTCTGTCAGCGAGGAGAACCTCACTTGACGCCTTGGAGGCCGTGCAGATCGCGCTGCGCTAGCTTTGACTCATCCCTCGCAAGTAGCAGGGCCGCCGCAATCACCAAACTGACTCTTGCTTTCACTCAGTGAGCACTGTCCCAAACAGCAACAGTAACAAGAACCTCCTTTTCGACGAGACCATCGCGCTGATGACAGTGGTCTCGTGGCAACCGATTCTTTGACGCCCAGCGCGATGCTACCGCCTCCATTCGCAACAATGAAGCATTGCTCAGTTCCTATATAGCTTGTTTAATAGCAGATCCAATTTGTGACACCCATTTTCATGGACACTGGAGCCCTTCCACACAATGCACGACGCGCTGTAAAGCAGCCCGTTACCGCTCGCCCAGATGTTGGCGACAATGTTTGCTCCAAAAGAGCGGGCTCAGCATACAAACTCCTAATCATTTGCTCCCCTAATCCCGATACGGGGACCTCCATACAGTTGATTCTCCACACGACAGCTCTCATTCCTCAATCGGCAGGGAAGGACCGATACCGAACGAACAGGGAATCTCTATGAAGGTCTTCATCCCCCGGAGTGTGGGGCGCCTTGTGCTCCCCGCTCTACCTCTGGTCATCACGTCCGTTACCGCTGCCGATCCGGACACGAACGCGAGTTCAGGCTCCACCATCATCTACATCGTCATCGCAGTGATCTTCATTCTCTTCGGCATCGTGGCCTTCTTCGTGTGGAAACGCAAACAGAATCGTACTAAGCGCAGAGATGACCGCGGCTACGGTCTTCCGTCAGTAACAGCGCGTTCCGGAGTCAGTCGCCTCACCTCGCACGGTAATACTGCCTTCGAGCGACGTATGGACTCCACGGGTTACAGTTGTAACTCTAAGGGTAACTCCAAAAGTAAGAAGGTGGGGCACTCTTATCACTCCCCGAAGCAGAGGGTAGAGCGTCCTCCCCAGTGGCCTGCCAATGGAGCTCCGACCTACACTCGTCAACAGCAGCAACAGTCTCAGTATCAACAACAGTCCCACTACCAGCATCAACCACAGTACCAATCGCAGTACCAGGAGAGTCAGTATCAACCACAGCAGTCGTTCCCGCCCCCGCCTCCCCCTGAGGTCCCCATGTTGGAGCCGCACGAGGACCAGGGCCCCGGTCTTTCGATGATGGAGCTGCAGCAGAGCCAAGTATCGTCCATGCAGTCAAGCGTGGAGGGAGTGCACAGGAGACAGACAGACCCTGCTGTCATCGCACGGACTCAGGAAGCAGCGGAGAAGGTGATGGCAGAACTGGAAGAAGATCCCGAGTTCGAGGAGAGCTGGATCCCCTACGATTCACTGTACTTCACGCGCTCCATCTCCAAAGGAGCCTTCGGAGAGGTGTGGCTGGCTCAGCTGGAGAACACACAGGTGGCAGTCAAGAAGATTCTGGATGAGAAGAAGCATGACACCAAGGAGATCGAGTGTTTCGGCGCAGAGATCAAGCTCATGGCGCTGCTAAAACACCCAAAGATTGTGGGTTTTATCGGTGTATCGTGGAGCGACAAGCAGGACTTGTGTGCAGTGACAGAGTTCATGGCCAAGGGCGATCTCTACGGCTACCTCGAACGTCGTAAGAACAAACTTAACTGGCCTGACCATAAAGTATGGCTGGCTGAGGACATCGCTGAGGCTCTGGTGTACCTCCACTCGCTGAATCCGAAAGTTATTCACCGCGATCTCAAGTCTAAGAACATTCTGCTGGACAACAAATACCGAGCCAAGTTGAGTGACTTCGGTATCAGTCGGAAGCGCTCAGTTGAGGAGACGATGACAGCAGGTGTCGGCACTATCTACTGGACGGCGCCTGAGGTCCTGATGGGCAAGAAATACACTGAGAAGGCCGACATTTACTCTTTCGGCATCGTCATGTCCGAGATGGATACATGCGAGGTGCCGTACTCGGACAAGCGCGACAATTCTGGCAAGAAATTGCAGGGCATGAAGATCATTCAGATGGTGATTCGCATGGCGCTTCGACCGTCATTCCGGGAGGATTGCCCCGAGCAGATCAAGGCACTGGCCGCCCGCTGCTTGGACGCCGACCCGGACGCACGACCGGATGCACCCGAGCTGCTCGACATCCTGCGCGACATCCAGGAGGATTTGCAGTAAAAGCGCTGGGAAAGAGTAATCGCGTGAACAGCGAGGAAGAGCATCGATAGTAGATTCGGTATACTGTAGCTCTGACTCGCCTACGGGTATTTAAGTTTTTTGCAGATAATACACAGATTCAGGTTTAAAACGAAGATGTTGCTCGCTGGATTCTACAGCGTGGATCCCCACGTCAACAGCGTTGTTGAATTGGATGCGTGCGTATCGCTCGTGGTGAATACAGTGTTGGGTCGTATTCCGACAGGCTTGTTGAAGTGAGCCTGTCCAGTCCGGCGAGCGTGAACTGAAGGTTTCAAGCTGAAGCACCAGTGTATTTACAATGTTGTACTAGTAGCGTACAATTGTGCGTCGGTCTCGCCGTTATGATGGCTTCTCTTCCAGCAGATGCTTCAACAACAGTCTCGAGCGAGTTTGCCTCACCGTTCGTATGGCAATGCTTCCGTCGTGCGTCTTGAATTACCTACACGAACACTGTAGCGAGGACGGCAGTGTTGGTAACTGAAAGACACTTGGTAACTAACGCCGGATGGCAACACTGACCTGCGTTCTAAACATCGATGCTCGCAAGGTGTCTTTGCTTTTCTGAGCAGATTCCTCCAGTCAAAGTGACTAGTATTAATAAGTATAACACATGCAGTAAACTCTACACAAGCGTCTGTATAGCCTACTGCGAGCGGAGCGGAGTCAACCATTCGGACCAAATGTCCGGTAAGCTCTTGTGGATGAAGAGCGGACGACATTCATGTGATCCTTTCACCATAATATTCCCACCCTGCACCGTGGAGTCCACGGTACAATATCAAGTTGATACGATTCACCGAAAATGTTCCAAGACTCCGATATAGTGGCACTTCCTAACAAAATTTGCACTGTGGCTGCTGACCAGCCGTGAGTTGGACGTATGGGAAGTGTGCGACAGCACGCCATGTCAGGCCCATTTTGCGTGTCATGTGCACTGCCTTCTGAATTAGTTCGCTAGTATCGCGCTCCTTACTCTACCTACACGGCACCTACACCCCGAGCGGTGTGTTGCTGTCGGCGCCGTTACCGCGTATCATGTGCTTTCGCCAACTGGACAAAACCAGCGATGCTGCTCGTTACTTTTTACAAAATTTCAACTCTCGACCACTCACAGCCTAGGACCCACTATTTTCCTTGAATATCAGATTCCGTTGGCCAATCACGATACTCCTACGAACCGCTCTCCCACGCGAAAAACTAGTCAGTGCGTTCAGCTCCGTAAGTATAATTCGATATTCCACCAAGAGGCAGGGCAGCCATAGTCATTCGGCCTTCGGGGGTGTAGCGGAGAATATATCGCCGAACGGACATGGGCTTGGTGGCCTTCCTCACGTGCGGCGCGTGCTCCAGCCGCCGCAAGCGTGGGCACGAGAATTTCCCGGACACCATCACGATCCCCACGCCGTCCGCGCAGTCGCACAACGCCGCACTGGCGCACCACCATCCGTACGACATCCACGGCACTCCCGCGCCCGCGCCCGCTGCACGCGAACATCGCAATACTCGCGGAGAAGACCGGTCCAGAGACAGCAGCGAGCCGCGACGCGACCGACGGACGTCCAACCCACAGCCTCGAGTGTCCAGCGGCCCGAACAGAGTGTCCAGTGGCCCGAACAGGTCTTCCAGCGCCCAGCCGCGGCAGCGTAGCGGCTCGCGACCTCAGCAATACCAGCCGCAGCACCCCGAGCAGAGGTCGCGTCCTCAGCAGCACGACCGCCACGCGCGACATGATCGTCCGGCCGTACGTAACATCGAACCCGTTGCGCCGGAGAAACTGCGGCCGAGCGGCGGTTCGGGCGGATCGGGCAATAACCGCGACTCGGAGATCACAGACAGGTCCAAAGAGGTGGCGAGTAAAGTGCTGGAGCAATTCCAGTCCGACCCGACGCTCGGTCGGATGCGCATCCCGTATTCGTCCCTGTATTTCACGCGCGTACTGAGTAAAGGCGCGTTCGGCGAGGTGTGGCTCGCGCAACTGGAGAACAGACAGGTGGCCGTTAAACGCATTTTGAACGAGAAGAAGAACGACGAGAAAGAGATCGAGTGCTTCGGCGCGGAGATTAAACTCATGGCGTCATTTTCGCATCCGAAGATCGTCGAGTTTGTGGGCGTATCGTGGAGTTCCATGCAGGACGTGTGTGCCGTGACCGAGTACATGGCTAAGGGCGACCTGTACGGCTTCCTCAAACGTCGACAGGGACAGCTCAACTGGCGTGACCACAAGATCTTTCTGGCTGAAGATGTGGCCGACGCACTCGGATACTTACACGGCCTATCGCCCAAGGTGATTCACCGGGACCTCAAGTCGAAGAATATTCTATTGGACGACGCATTCCGCGCCAAACTGAGCGACTTTGGTATCAGCCGTGAGCGATCTGTGGAGGACACGATGACTGCAGGTGTGGGCACAATATACTGGACAGCACCCGAAGTGCTCATGGGCAAGAAGTACACGGAGAAGGCCGACATCTTCTCGTTCGGTATTGTCATGTCGGAGCTGGACACACACGCCGTGCCGTACTCGGACAAACGCGACGCGTCCGGAAAGAAGCTGCAGGGCATGAAGATCGTGCAGATGGTGATTCGAAGAAACCTGAGGCCGACATTCTCGTCGGACTGCCCCCCGCTCGTCAAGGAGCTGGCGGACCGCTGTCTGGACTCGGATCCGGACGTGCGACCCAGCGCCATGGAGCTGCTGCGAATCATCCAGCGCATGCAGAACCTTTTGTAAGTTTGCAGTGAAGCCTCAATAGCCGCTTAAGTAGAAGATACGGAGGAGAAGACACTCGCTGCTCGAACCGAAGGAAGGATCGAACGAGTGGCGCGTCAGGAGGAGCGGGAGACTCCGCTGCTCGAACTAGAAGCTGCATGCAGATATGATTGTCGAGCCGATAGGACGCATTTTTTGTTGGTTTGCCATAAATTCCCAATAAACGAAAGACAATTCAATTGCAATTTTTTGCCATGCAACAAGTTGCCGGTATCTTGCAACTTTTTTTTAGTCCAAAATAATCCGTCGGTTTTATCAGCTTTTGGTCCTGATGCACAAATTCCAATTAACCGCCAAATGGTGAACCAGGAGGAGGCGTTGCTGTCCTTCGGGTCTCCACGGCAGGGCTTCTCGACGTCCGTGCACAGTTTGGTGGACGAAGGGACGTTGGAAGACGAAGGAGGCAAGAACGCGACGGAGCTGCTCGCGTTCTACCGCCAGCGATGCGAACAGTTCCACGCTGAACGAGAGCAAACGTTGGCACATTTGGCACAGATCGAGGTGCAGTGAAAACATAAGGCTAAATAACGTATCACAATGATACCAACCGGTGAAATGACGCTGCAGGTGTCCAAGGAAGAAGCGCATCGCCTCAAATGGGAGATCAAGACCAAAAACGAGGAGGTTTGATGTCGTTTGGTGGAAAGTCCGAGCTTTGGAGGTGAAATACTGACAATTTATTTGCTTGTTTCATTGCAACAGATTGCAGACCTGGAGGAGTCTTTGAAGAAAGCAAACGCCGCACTGTTTCAAGCTAAAGCGGAGCTCATTGATGTCCAGACGGAGAACAAAACGCTGAAACTTCAAGAGCAAGACGACCGCCAGAAAATTCAAAAGTTGCTGGCACTTACGCAACCTATAACCGAGCAGGTGACATTCTTCCGAGATTGCCGACCCGGTACACGAACAACGTATCCATCGGGACGAACACCGACACCAACGACGTATCCATATCCATCGACAATGCACATTGGGTCGGAGGAAATGCAACAAAAGAAGAAAAAGCAAAAGTCAGGCTTTGCTGTGCGAGGCAACGCCCCGAGTCTCATGAACATCACACAAGCTATCCCACCGAACAAAGTGCTACGGACGATATACATGCCGAATGAACAGACAGCAGCGTTGACGAAGACGATTGAAAACCTCCAGAAACAACTCGAAGCTCACCAGCAACTCACAGAAACGCGCATTCAAGCTCTATTGGACGGATTTGCTGAAGAGAAGGCGAAGATTCTGTTGCATCAACAGCAAATTGAGGAGAAGAATGCCCAACTTGAGAAGCAGGTAGAAAAAACCAAGCGAGTGCTTACCCAAACGACCAAAGATTATTTGGTACTGCGTCACAAATCTCAAGAAACCGAACGTCTCGCGCACGAAGAGATTTTCCAGGCGAAGCAGAAATGCGAAAATTTAGTCACGGAGAAGACCAAATTGACGGAAAAAGTGCGAGAAGAGACGAACGCGCTGCGTGAAGTCGTCCGTGAAGAGGGGAACCAGACAGTTTTGGAGTTCCGGAACCAGGCGCTTTCTCGAGAACGAGACCTGCATATTTTGAAGGAGCAGTATGCGGCTATGCAAGAAGCGTGCACGAAGCGAATCCAGGATCTCCAGGTGCGTCTGACGAAGTTGAGAAGTCGGTACCGCAGTCTGGACAAGCGCCGAGCTATGGAAATGGAGGGATTTACTCGAGATCTGGCTGGACTGAAGCGACATTTGCAGAAACTAGAGGTTATACTTTACGGAAGAGGACTCACAGCTCAAGAACGACAAGTTTTGCGATATGGTAAGGATTGATGCATGTGGTGCTGTCTGTGAGCTGGGGAACTAACGTACAAATTACTGCTAAATGCCAGACGAAAATTATGCATTGGACTCCAACGAACTTAGTGACGAAATCGCAGCCTTGCAGCGACGATTGATGGATCTATCGGCTGCCCTTGCGGAGGCATGACGCAGTTTACTATTGTTTTTTTTTTTTTTACTATTGAGACATAACGAAACAATTGAAAGTGCTACAAACTACGAGAAAAAGCTAAGGTTAACCTCATCTGAGTCTCATTGGAAATTCTTGCCCATGATCACGTGAATACTCAGTATCTTTTGGATTGATTGCGGATACTGTTCAGGTTCACGCCCCAGAGCGCAGCCAACACCACAGGAAACGCAAACCATGCCATCGTTGCAGATTGAGTCGGCAGCTTCACTTTAGCAGCACGGAATTGCTTCCGCTCCACAAAGTTCGTCGCTCTACGACCAATCGCTGCTGGTGCAATGTGAGAGCGTTGGCGGTAGTACTGCGCTGTAGTGAAGCGCTCGAATTCGTTCAACCCTCCAAACATCTCGTGCACGTCCTCCGATCTCATCGGTTTGTAGTTGCCAGTATCAACCAACACGTTCTCGCTCGCGTCAGGGGCTGCAGATACCCCAAACATTTCGATGTCGTATTTGGAACGTCTGGTGCTGTCGCTCAGCAAGTCGTAAGCAGCGTTGATGCGTAAAATCTCCGCATCCTAAGCCCAATACACAGTCAACGTGGTACGTATACGAAAACTGTAACAATGAGCAACCAATACCTTTCCACTCTTGTAGCGGACACACTTTTTCATTTTGCCATGATATCGATCTGGGTGATGCTCGAGAACTACAAAAACACTCGATAATGTCAATGCCAAAAAAAAAAGGATTGAGAAACAGTCATTAGATTGTAATACCAAGCTTTCGATAGGCCGCCTTGATTTCACTCACGGACGCCGAGCGGTCCACTCCTAGGACGTCATAGTAGTTCGTCTGGAGGTGCTTGCGGGTCATCTTTAACGAAGATGGAGAATTGGAAACTCCATTACCGACGACAAAGTCCCGTACGGCAGAGGTACTTGCAGTTTTTCACGGCCATAAACCTTCAAGCCTAAACACGGTTGAATGGCCTAATAGAGCATAATATTTACAAATTAGCCAAATTGGTAAAACTATACTTGTCTTATTTACTGTACAATTACTGCTTCACTGCTGCTTCATACGCTGCTGGAGGTGAAAAAGTAAACTAAACGATATGTATTTCGCTTCCATTCCATTCCGTTCCGTTTTTTTTTTTTTTGGTTCTTGCATTGCTGTGATATAGCAGTAAACACATGGAGTTTTGCACATATTTGATCAGAAGCCCGTACTTTCTGGATGGACGATTTTTAGTTTTACTTCGAAGTAGTCCGGAATAGATTTACGGTTAGTTTTACTCAACTACCGGTAGAGATGCCCTCATTTGTCCTATCTATCTTTCCCTCCTAGTCCGTAACTTCACTCCACATTACGATCATATTTTCACGGATGAGCAATTGATCTAAGTTGCCACGTTTCGTGTTTGTTATGGAGTTGCGGTTTCAAACACCGTCAACGTGGCCAAAGCGAATGTGGCCGCAGACTCTTCGAGGACGGCAACTACCTGTACATGCACTGTAGCGGACTATTGAGTTGGGACAACTAAGGGTTAGAAATGTTCACTCTTCCAGGAAGTCGTTGGAAAGAGCCACCAGAGCTCAGTCCACTCCATAGTCACAACAACACTCACTAGCCAAGAGCCCTCTAAGTCGTTGGAAAGAATTCGGTCCGCATCGTAATCACATCCAACACCGTCCCTCTAACTCTCCTACTGCTTGTTCCTCCGGGACGAGTTCGATTCGTTCCGAATGCTGTTCAAATTGACGCCCCACAGCGCCATCAATGCAACAGGAAACGCCAGCCACATCAACGTCGCTCCCTGTGTCGGCAACTTTGACTTGGCCGCTCGAAATTGCTTCCTCTCCGCGAGATTCGTCGCCCTCCGCCCGATAGCAGCAGGGGCGACATGCGATCGCTGTCTGTGGTATTGCGCCGTGGTGAAGCGTTCGTACTCGTTCAGTCCTCCAAACATTTGATGAACGTCTTCCGAGCTCATGGGTTTGTAGTTGTCCGTACCCACCACCACTCGATCGTGATGACCCGGGGCGGCCGAGATGCCGAACATCTCCATGTCATACTTAACACGCGCAGTATTGTCGCTCAGCAAGTCGTACGCGGCATTAATACGCAAAATCTCCGCGTCCTGCAGACAAATTGTAGCATATTAGACTACGATTCACTGTATTCTAGCGCATACTATAGCATTAGCTTACTTTGCCATCTTTTCGTCGAGCAGAGCCTCTGGTCTTGGTGTGGTGGCGATCGGGGTGGTGCTCGAGAACTGTGTCATGTTCAATAGGTTAGGAGGAGCAGAAATATGGCTTTTAGTATGGGAGAAACAGCACGCACCGAGCTTGCGGTAGGCGGCTTTGATGTCGTCGGTCGAGGCCGAGCGCTCGACGCCCAGCACCTCGTAGTAGTTTGGCTGTAGGTGCTTCCTGTCCCGCGGTGACATATTCGACCAGAGAACGCAATTTGTCAACTGTCAGCTGAAATTTGGCCCCACGTTTTTCGACACGACCAAATTTTGTGATTTGAGTCAGTTTCGGCTGTACTATTTTTTACATACTTTTTCGAGATGGAGTCCTAAATGCTCGCAACTAACTTCAAAACTCGCTCGCTGCACTGCTTCAAGCGCAGTGACAGTCGAGGACGGAACTGGGAAACTATTGTTGAGCCCGGTACGAACCAGGAATATGGAGACCCCTGCTAAAAGAGCAGGAGAACTTTGGCTTGGGAGATTTTCGGATTGGCAACTACACGCGGAATTCTTGCTGCGGTGGGTCGTCCAAGTGGCGCTGTCACATCACACCCACTATCAGTCTCATCCATACTCAATGTATCAATAAAGAAGCGCTGCGAACCTTGAGATAGAACTCGAGCTGGTCTTTTGTTACAGTCGTCGAGTCTTCTGACGATGCAAACTGCACGAAAAAAAATAATCATAGCGTTAGAAGATTATCAAACCAGTTTAGTCCACTAAAACAACGCACCGAAAAGCGTCCGTTTTGGCTGGTAGAGCTGGTAGAAGACTGCGTATCGTCTGAGGGAGGCTCTCGGTACTTTTCGTGGTTGTCCATGCGCGCCCACATCATCAGCTGCTTCTGGAATGCGCTGTCAAAGTCATTATGAGTCAGCATTATTTATCATGTTCCATCCATGCCATCACACGTACATGGTCGATTCTTCACTATCTTCCTGAACAGTGTCGAATGCCTGGGATTGCAGGGGGCGTCGATAGGGCTGCTCTAATTGCACAGGAAGTCTATTGGCCCGGCCGAATAGCGGGCGCGAGCCTCTTGGAATAAATATGATCTGTGAGTTCAGTCGATAAGTGCAGACAGGTGAGTATCATTGGGTCAGCATTTATCCAAACGGCCAAAAGCCAGGCCAAGCAGCAACTTGCACATACCTTCATGTCCTCGAAGTTCTCATCCTCCACGCAGTACACGTTAACTGCAACGCAGTCAGGCTGAGTGTGGTCGAACTGGAAAATGTGAATACCTGCCCTCCCACCAAAGCAAGATCAGCCTCAGGTCCAGATCCACACCCAGTACTTGACAATGCAAAATTTACCGCATTTTGCGCAAAAGACGTGCTGGCACGACGTGGCTTGGCTCTCATACAGCGAGACATCCGACGATTCCATCATCTCAAAGCAGGACGTCGGGATAACCTGCCACCAGCACTTCCGTCAACATTTTAACTTTAAGACTCCGTCCCATCCGCCACTCACCAGAAACGGAAACCTGCCCTTCTTGCACGAAAACGTGTTGCTGTCGTCGAACGCCTCCACTCGCTTGGGTGCCAGAATCATAAATCTGTTCACACCACCAGAATATCTAAATATCCTCCAGTTCCATTGACAATTCGCCTCAGTTCTTACCTCAGCGACCCGCAATCACAGCTCCCTCGGTGTTGGAACAGCGGGAGCTTGGGCATCCCGTACTTCTTCCTGCAGTCATGTCGAGAGAGAAATAAACAGCCCAGCTCAGTCGCCAGTCGCCAAGATCGAATGCCTCCCAGCCAAGTCCAATGGCCCCACGCACTGGTAGTAAACGTCCTTGCCGCCGCCATCTAAGTCGCATCGCTCCCACTTGCCCTGATTGTCCCGCATACTCCGATAAACCTCGCGAAGCTGCAAAAACGTATCATAACTGGTTAGGAAGGTTCTCAACTTGCCCACCCAAGATCCACACGCACCACGAGCAGCCCCACGCCCACGACCAGCGTGGATAGCGCCCCGATTGCGCGGTCCACCTCGCGCACCATGCCGTTGACCATCGTCAACAGCCACACACACACAGACCAGACAGATCACGTGCCTTGCCTGTTCGCTTGGAAACTGTCGGGAAAGCCCTTATTTATTTACTCGTACTTAGTGCAAAATCACCAGAATGATGGCACCATTTTTTCGTCCAATTGCCAATTTTGGGTTTTCTTTCGCGGCTGACGTTGGCAGATTGGGAAACCAGATTCACTGAAATGGCTTGAAGGCAACAATTATATTTTAAAATAAAATGTATCTACTGTATTGCGTTAGCTAATAAATGGATGTACTGCATTGAGTTATCTATTTTCTTTTAGATGACAACATAGTTCTTACTTCTCGTCGGTACGCATACCGATTGGCTGGGATGGCATTCAGACGAAAAAAACCCATTAATTTTTAATGGTTTTTTTTCGTCTGAATGCCATCCAACGGCAAGCGATATTTTCATCGAAAGTTCTACAAGTTCGTTGTCGTTGAGTAATAAAATACGGCTGGAAGTCACGGTCGCGAAGGCGCCAATAAGGAATGTACGGCTCTTTACTTACTAATGGATACATCAACGCTTTATCTGGGCTGCGGCTTGTGGAGATCGGGGGAGGAATCCCTGAAGGATTTGGAGTCGAAGAGCGAGCGGTTGATTGTCGAGTTCTCGATGACCAGCTCGAACGGGGCTGTGCTGGCGTTCTCGCACCCCGTTGGCGTCAGGATGCTCGAGCTCTCGTCCGAATCCATGCCTCCCGTGTCGACTGCAGTCTCGGTAGTCTTGTCAGAGACGCGCTGTAGATGGCGCGAGTACCAGAGCAAGATGTAGAAGACAACGGCGGTGCCCAAGAACAGCATGAGGGCGGCCACGGGCGACGCCGTTGAGTGGAAGTTGAAGAGATCATTGCTGGGTTGGTGCCCGCTAATGACCCACAAGTACTGGATAAAGATCCAGAAGACCGGCCACATGAGCACCAGGAACACGTGGTTGGCCTTGAACAATGGCGCTGTGAAGTAGAAATCCACTCCTACGATAACGAGCTGCGTCACGGCGCCAAATACGTGCAGACCCGGCAATGAAATGTCCGAGTATGGTAGTGTCACCACCCTGTATTGAAGACAATCAAGAGCATTAGTGGGAGGTTGCTAACACAAAACGATGAAGGCTAGTCGTACCAGAAGAAGATGAAAGACACGACGGTGGAGGTGGTGGAACCTTCGAAGAAGACCCAGTCCAGGATCTCCCAAGAGCACGCCGATGGTCGTCGGTAGTGCAGTAGAATTCGAGGCCCGTTAAACGTTGGTTGGTACAGATGCACAGCCGCAATCTATAGCATACAACCGCAAATCAGACACCACTACGATGATTCTTTATCAACTCTTGATTCGCTCTTACCCACATCGCGATGACGGAATATAATGCCGACATCGGGCCGAATAGCATTAGTGGAGGTGTTTTCTCTCTGCCGTCACTGAAATAGCCCTCCCATGCCAAGCACAAGCACTGGAAGAAGACACTGCACGTAAAACTAAGAAGTGACGAATAAATACACAGATTGTTATTTGAAGGAAATTTCACGCTGTGTAGGACAGCTACGTACATGCCGAGTGCGCCCATGAGCTTCCATCCGACGCGCTGATTCCGCGAGAAGTGTGAGAGCTTGGTATGTCTTGTCGTGTGGTACGGACTCTTGCCTTTAAAGAAGTTAAAGCAATCGTCCCAGGCATCCAGGCAGTCAGCGGACGCCATGGCGACTGCAGAAGGTCTCTGGGTCGTGTCTAGAGGCTTCGTTCTCGCCGGTCGTTGCACGCACGGCACCTAGACAGCGCGCTTGGAACGTCGCGGAACTGCACGATACTATGACGTTGAGTATGGCACTCGTCTGTCAATAGGTATGGCACTAGCAATTAAGTGGAATTTTTTTACCAATCGCCGTTTATTGTAACATTACGGTGTTACTTTCTTTGAGCTGTATACAGGTATACAGTGTAACAATTATCAGTTGATAAAAAAGTACTTTGTATTGAAAAAATGCGCATTAGGTTCGGCCCACTTTAGATCTTTTTTTATTATGGTGGGTGATAAAGCTAAGAGCAGTCAAGGCAAGAACTTTTTTTTCAGAAAAAGTGCTTTATGACTTAAAAATTTCAGTTACAATACCAAAAATAACGACCTAATTCAACTCAAAGTTGAAGCCGAAGGTGCTCGCACTGCTTGCTGTAGTCGCTGTAGGATCACTTGACGCGGTAGGAGACGTTTCCTTATCATTGTCCTCCCCGTGGATAAGAAGTTCCCACTTGGATTTCCGGTGCTTATGCTCGTACTCGTCCTTTAGTTCCTTGTCCACCTTGGCGTAGAGCTCTGGAACATTGCTGACCAATACCTCCCGGAACATTCCACCGAGCTTGGGGCGTTGTTCCATTGGGCAACCGGAAACCTGCTCCGGTTTATCTGTTAAGAACTCTAACACGCTCTTGACGTTGCTAGAACTTACGAAGTTCTGCGTCATTGCAACGCTCTCGTCGATGTTGAGAACGGTGTGCCACCAACCATGTGGAACGAACATGGTCTCACCCTCTCGGCAAATGCCTTCCAGCGGTTTGAGGTGGGCGGGAAGCTTCTGTACGTCCTTATAGAAGGTCACGAACCACTCCATAAGTGACACGGGCGAAGACACTTCGCTGCCATCCTCGCTCGGGTGAATTCCAGGCGGCACTTGGCCAGGAGGGAACATGATCCACTTCTTGGAGCCACGGATAACGCCGTTCCACGCGTTCGTAGCGTTCGGGTCAATATGGAAACTGGAGCCAGACTTCTTTGGACCAATGATCAGCCAACGGTAGTCCGGTCGCTTCTCCTCGCCCAGCAGAGCAAAGTAGTCTTCTTGGAAGTACTCGGGAACAGTGTAGTCTTTTGCCAGCTGAGGCACCTTCGCAGCGAACTCCTTATCGAATACAAACAGCGGTTGGTCGTCTAGTAGTGTGCGGCAATAGTTGAAGTATTTATCCATCGAGAACTGGAATCCACCAGCATAGAACGTCTTGCCCTTGCAAACTTCATCCAAATATTCATCCGTCCACTTGTTTATCGCCGGCCAATTATCAATGGCATCGGTGATAATAACGGGCTTGTTAGGACATTCAAAGTCCCTTTTAAAGTCCTCAACCGTCATGTCCTTAGCACTACGACGCTCAATGTTCTCCACCGCTAGCCACGCCTCTTCTATCGGGGCAGCAGAACAGTAGAAGGACTGGAACAACAAGTCGGAATACACTCCCTGCACGCGAATAGGAGCTTCCAGCTGCACTTTGTCGCCATACCTAGTCCTCAGGTACGTGGCCTTCCAAGTCGGCTTGGGTTCGAACTGTCCTTCCATCTCTTCGAGCACCAGCACTCGCCACAGTTCGTCGTGCGTGCCGTACACATACGCTGCACGACTGCACGCCGCCAGGTTCGCCAGGTCCACGGCCGAGCAGTAGTTTAATAGCGACAGCAGCTGGCTGTCCTGCATCATTGCCAGACGGCCTAGACCTGACGCGCGACACTCCTTGATGCCTTTGACGGAGTCCTCGAAGTAGTTGCCAATAGGCTTCACGCCCAGCGGGTGCTCCAGCCGCACGCGGGGGCTGGCAGAATTGAAGTCATCGCCCGCGTTCTGAGAAATCTTGATCTTCTTCACCAATCGACTGGCAGTTGCATCGCCAGTATCGCGACGAGCGTGCTCCGCTTCCGTCGACATCGTGCCAATGTCGAATGGCATTCGGCCGCCACTCGCCTGTTGCACTTCTATAGCGTTTGAAAAATCAATGTTTTTAACCAATGAAATTGGTGATCTGTGAGACAAAGGAACCAATTAACACGGATGGGAGGTTGAAGTGATGTTTGAAAATGAAGGAGGTTATTGCAAAACCAATGCAGTTGTATCTAACGTTGCAATGGATTCTAAATCATTGAAACGGAGTTAATACTCGTCACCGAATGCCTCATCCGTCATCTCACCCTCGGCCGTCTCGGCCGACACCTCCTCGTAGTCCTTCTCCAGAGCAGCGAGGTCCTCACGAGCCTCCGAGAACTCGCCTTCCTCCATTCCCTCGCCCACGAACCAGTGGACGAACGCACGCTTGGCGTACATCAGGTCAAACTTGTGGTCGATGCGGGAGAACACCTCAGCAATGGCGCTGGTGTTCGAGATCATGGCCACCGCACGCTGCACGCGCGCCAGGTCGCCACCAGGCACAACCGTCGGAGGCTGGTAGTTGATACCGCACTTGAAACCGGTCGGGCACCAGTCGACGAATTGAATAGTACGCTTGGTCTTGATGGTGGCCACAGCGGCATTCACATCCTTCGGGACGACGTCACCGCGGTACATGAGGCACGTGGCCATGTACTTGCCGTGACGAGGGTCGCACTTGGCCATCATGGAGGTCGGCTCGAAGGCGCTGTTAGTGATCTCGGCTACTGACAGCTGCTCGTGGTAGGCCTTCTCAGCCGAGATAACCGGAGCATACGAGCTGAGCATGAAGTGGATACGCGGGTACGGCACCAGGTTGGTCTGGAACTCAGTGATGTCAACGTTAAGAGACCCATCGAAGCGCAGCGATGTGGTCAAGGAAGAAATCACTTGTGCGATCAACCGATTGAGGTTTGTGTACGTTGGTCGTTCGACACCCAGCGAACGACGGCAGATATCGTAGATGGCTTCGTTGTCCAGCATAATCGCAACATCCGTGTGCTCAAGAAGAGAGTGAGTCGAGAGTACCGAGTTGTAGGGCTCTACTATTGCTGCAGATAGCAGCGGTGACGGGTAAATCGTGAAACCAAGTTTGCATTTGCGACCATAGTCGACCGAAAGACGCTCGAGTAGTAAGGATCCGAATCCGGAACCGGTGCCACCGCCCACGGCGTTAAATACCATGAAACCTTGCAGACCGGTGCAAGAATCCGCAAGCTTGCGAATGCGATCGAGCACCTGGTCCACGACCTCCTTTCCGATCGTGTAGTGGCCACGCGCGTAGTTGTTGGCCGCGTCTTCCTTGCCCGAGATGATCTGCTCCGGGTGATACAGCTGACGGTAGGTGCCCGTGCGGACTTCGTCACACACTGTGGGCTCCAAGTCCACGAACACGGCACGCGGCACGTGCTTGCCCGAGCCTGTCTCGGAGAAGAAGGTGGAGAACGAGTCGTCTCCCTTGGCACTGGAGTCGCTGGGGATCTGGCCATCGGGCTGAATGCCGTGCTCGAGGCAGTAGAGCTCCCAGCAGGCGTTACCGACCTGGATACCGCCCTGGCCGAGGTGGATGGAGAGGATTTCACGCATGTTGAAGTTGTCGAGAAATACTACGGTTTGACGTGGCTTGGACCTAGAGGAGGCGAGTCTCGAGGCTCACTAGAACGCTGTGAAGAGTGCTGGCAGTCAAGCTGGGCAATTGAACAATGCTATCGGACACCTTGCGTTGGAACGAGTTGAGTTGCAATGGTATCAGAACGATTGACGAGTAACGGCGAGCTGTTTAATTTTCGACGCACTATTAAATATGGTAGGTTGAAAATGAGCATTGTTCTCTCAAGCAATTATAAAGATGCTAGGATAATATCGAATAGTAAAGGTTCTACTGTACCACATTCATTCCGCATGGACGTCAGCATCTGGGCGAGGAAGCTCGCCATCTTAGCCCCATCGGAATGCACTGTGCTAAACCTGGCTACAAGTATTTGCGCCTATTTCATCGGCCAAGTTCGGCGGTCAGGACGCGAAGTGACTCGCGTCGAGAGCACTACTGGTTGGGCTAGCTTAGTTGACGATCCAAGCGACCAGGAAATGCTTTGGTGCTACGGTCACTCATTTCATAGTGCAATGCTTCACTTGGCGGCTACCTTTCAGACTTGCCACTGGCCACTTGCCAGCTGCGACTCTCCATACGAAAATTCATATTACGAATTAGAGCAGTACACGTAGTGTAGGAGCAACTCAGCTGTCCACCCTGACAACGACAAACAGACAATTGTTCACAACGTGGTGCCGTGTTAACCTCTACCAGCACGCTGGAGTAAAGGCAATATCTCTGGATAACTCACTACATTGAGGAGCTAGATGACTACCTAGCAGAGTCTGCAGCGCAGACCAAGTGACCATGCTCACAACTAACATCTTTGCGCTGCAAATTGCCTTCCAGGAGCGACAGGGTGTTGGCGCGGTTAGGAGATACATGACACGCAATTGCCATTGGGCAAAATTCTGTCACGATGCCTTTCCATTCGTCAAAATTCTTTTTCAAACATTCAAACCCCGCGCGCCACCACTCCCTTTCCCGCTTCTCCCTCATTCTCCAACTCGACTGCAAACGCCCTCACAACGTTTCCAGTTGCCTCGGAGCCACGTCCCAACTTGCAACATGCGTGAAATCCTCTCCATCCACCTCGGCCAGGGCGGCATCCAGGTCGGTAACGCCTGCTGGGAGCTCTACTGCCTCGAGCACGGCATCCAGCCCGATGGCCAGATCCCCAGCGACTCCAGCGCCATGGGAGACGACTCGTTCTCTACTTTCTTCTCCGAGACAGGCTCGGGCAAGCACGTGCCGCGTGCCGTGTTCGTGGACTTGGAGCCCACAGTGTGTGACGAAGTCCGCACGGGCACCTACCGTCAGCTGTACCACCCGGAGCAGATCATCTCGGGCAAGGAAGACGCGGCCAACAACTACGCGCGTGGCCACTACACGATCGGAAAGGAGGTCGTGGACCTCGTCCTGGACCGCGTCCGTAAGCTAGCCGACGCCTGTACGGGGCTTCAGGGCTTCATGGTGTTCAACGCCGTCGGTGGCGGTACCGGTTCGGGTCTGGGTTCGCTGCTACTCGAGCGTCTGTCGGTCGACTACGGCCGTAAGAGCAAGCTCGGCTTCACTATCTACCCGTCGCCTCTCGTGTCGTCGGCTGTTGTGGAGCCCTACAACTCTGTGCTGTCCACGCACTCGCTGCTGGAGCACACGGATGTTGCGATTATGCTGGACAACGAGGCCATCTACGACATTTGCCGTCGCTCTCTCGACATTGAGCGCCCGACGTACACGAACCTGAACCGTCTCATTGCTCAAGTCATCTCGTCGCTCACCACGTCGCTGCGTTTCGATGGCTCGCTGAATGTGGATATCACCGAGTTTCAGACCAACCTGGTGCCGTACCCGCGTATCCACTTCATGCTCAGCTCGTATGCTCCGGTTATCTCGGCTGAGAAGGCCTACCACGAGCAGCTGTCGGTGGCCGAGATCACTAACAGCGCCTTCGAGCCGACCTCCATGATGGCCAAGTGCGACCCTCGTCACGGCAAGTACATGGCCACGTGCCTCATGTACCGCGGTGACGTCGTCCCGAAGGATGTGAATGCCGCTGTGGCCACCATCAAGACCAAGCGTACTATTCAATTCGTCGACTGGTGCCCGACCGGTTTCAAGTGCGGTATCAACTACCAGCCTCCGGCGGTTGTGCCTGGTGGCGACCTGGCGCGCGTGCAGCGTGCGGTGGCCATGATCTCGAACACCAGCGCCATTGCTGAGGTGTTCTCCCGCATCGACCACAAGTTCGACCTGATGTACGCCAAGCGTGCGTTCGTCCACTGGTTCGTGGGCGAGGGAATGGAGGAGGGCGAGTTCTCGGAGGCTCGTGAGGACCTCGCTGCTCTGGAGAAGGACTACGAGGAGGTGTCGGCCGAGACGGCCGAGGGTGAGGCCGAAGACGAGGAGTTCGGTGAGGAATACTAAGCGTCTCGCAAGCTTGTTCCACTTGACAATGGTGTCTAAACCTAGCGAAGTATGGGATGCATGACATTCCTATGCGTTAGAGGAATTTTAGAGACCAAAGTTGCCTTTGCAAGATAAGCTGAAAAAATTGCAGTGACAATTGGTGCCAAAGTTTCTATTTTCAGAGTGTTTTTCCGTGCGGGACGGTGTGTTTTGAACTCGTCCCATAATAACCTTGTCGACAGTGTCCAAACCCATCATGTTCATTGCTCTCCAGCCGAGCAAGCAGGCACTTGGACATCATGTTCGACGCGTATCTTGAAGACTATGAACATGCCCGAGAAGAGGCACTCAAGGCTATCGACGAGTATTCGCGCGCTTCGGATCCAGGTAAAATGATGTTTCCATAACAGTGTGGCAGGCAACGGCTAAATGTAAATTTTCTTTGTAGCCAAGCGCGAGGAGCTCGTTGTGACCGCGAAAACCTGCGTTGATGAAGTCGAACGATACGTACGAGTCAATGCTCACACTCAAGCTGTTTGTGGTGACCATAGTTGACGTTTGTGGCACATGTGTTGGTAGATTCGCATTTTGGAGAACGAAGCGAAGAATGGTTCGACCCCTGCAGTGAAAAGGAAAATGATGGAGCAAGTGCGCAACTGTCAAACCAAATGGACCGGTTTGAAGACTGCTTTGGAGAAGGAAATCTTGGTGGGCGACGCTCGTGCCGGAAAATCTTCCGACTCCTGGAAAGATGCCACCACGGTAAGCCTCGAGTGTTGGTTTTGGTAAGTAATTTGGATAATTCACACGCTTGTGTTCTTACAGAAAGAGCAAATGGAACGCTGCGTCGAACGTATCGACAGGTTAGAGCCTTTAAGTCCTCAACAGATGAGAGTAGTGCGACTTAACAATGCTTTTCTTTGCTAGAAATGGACGTCATTTGGATGAAGCGCAGCGTACCCTCGCGCACACAGAAGCCATCGGTACGAGTGTATTTTCTTCCAAGTTCTGAAAAAAAAAAAAATGCTAACGGTTAACTCATCATCCGTCCTCTTTAAATGCAGCGGAAAATGTTGCCAACAACTTGCTGCAGCAACGCAATCAACTTGAACATACCGAGCTCAATGTAAGCTACTCACACTTATGTGGTGTTATTGAACTGGGTCTGACGCAATGCCTTTGTTGCTTTTGCAAATAGGTGCAACAAATGCAAGAAGACACTGACGAGGCAAAGGGCTACATCCGATCCATGGCGTGCAAGGCTATTACCAGTCGAATTTTGCTGTTGTTGGTAATATTGGCCCTCGCCCTCGCCATCGTACTGGTTTCGTACTACAAATGGTACCCGCGCAACAAGAAGGACTACCTGGGCATCTTGCCAAATTCGAGCACCTCTGCTTCCGGTAGTGGATAACCAACCTACCATCTGAGAAAGAATGAGAAAATAAGGGGATGGCAGGTTATTCGACATTTTAACTCCAAGGAAGCAACATTTAATTTAGTAAAAAAAAAAAAGAGAAGCACATCCCGTTCAACTAAAGCGTCTCGTAGAAATACACGTAAATTTTGTTTGGCTGTTACGCTTGCCACCACATATTGGACATTTGCTAGACTCTTCTGGTTCTTGATACCTAAAATGCTATCCGCGGCAAAACGAGTGCAGTTTCCATGATTGTCGCGGTCGATGAGCGATCAAGCAAGGTTCTGGATCAATTGACAGCGTGATAGGATAGCTAACTGACGCTCCAAAAGCCTCGATCCAAAGCTGATAAAACCAAGTTACACCAAGCAGCCGTAGTCCGGCGAGATTTGCAAGAACACGTCGTCAAAGAACCTCTCACTACTGTAGTCCACTTGGCTCGCATGGGCTGTGAACTCCTCGTCCACGTCATTCAAAGATCGTACGTCAGCGTACTTGGTTTCCGAAGGCAGGAAATCAAGATCTGCGCTATCAAAGCCACTGGGAGGATAATCCTCGACGAACGCCTTCTTGTGGCCGGTGGGTGAAGCCTTCATAATGAGATCGGCAGCTCTGTCCGAACTGGACTTGGCAAAAACGTCGAAGTGGCTGTAAAACTGCGGTTGAGCGTAGTAGGCCTCGTTGAACTCCTCGCTCTTGAGGCCTCGGTCAAAGAATGACAAATGGGCCGGTGGCAAGTGCATCACCTGACTTCTACGGATCCGAAGGTGAGTAGACCCCGCCGGGATGACGTCGCCCAACGTCTTGGCGTCTCCGTCGGTCGGGCTGACTGTGCAGTCATAAAAGCTCAGCTCGGAGCCGAATCGCGGACTTTGGGACGCCAGTGAGTCGTTGTCGTTCTCAGATTCGACGTCCTCATCGTCGTCATCGCAGGCCAACAACTGCTGGTGTTGTGGCCCGAGACGGCCCGATGGATCTAGCCCGTAGGTCTCCGGGGCCATGAGTTTGTCCAATTGGCGCTTAAATGTGGCGTACTGGGCCTGTTGCTTGTCACTGAGCGGGGCCTGTTCCTTGCAGCGATTGAGCTCCTGAAGCGATCGCTTGAGACTGCGTACCTTGCGGTACGGCCAGTGTCGAATACCGATGGCTCGACAGCGTTTCTTGAAGGCCGTGGCCCGGACTCCAAACTTTTCGGCCGCTACCTTGAGTGGCAGGTGGAAGTGCAGACTGAAGGCCTCGAAGTTGCAGGCCGGAGACATGGACAGGAAGGCGCTCTTCCTGGCCGCGTGGGCCCGTGCGGCGTGGCCATCGCTCATGACGGGACTTTGCATGTACACGTCCTCGAGGCTGGCAACGAGTTGCAGATTGAGAGGTGCTAGAGATTCCGAATGTTGCAACATTGGCAACCTTGGTGTATGGATTGTTTCGCTTGTGCACGAGAGAGCTCGATTGGGAATGAGAACCAACACTGGCGACGGTAGAAAGATCGCAAGGCGAAACACGCAAATTCCACGTTTCAATATGGAAGATTGTATACCGCGATTTTCTGGAAAACAGGCGGAGCCTACAACAGCGGGAGCGAAACGGTGAAGGCTGAACTCACCGTTGCCAAGGGCAACGTTCACTTGATAAGTTGTCACGGAATTTCTGGCTGCGCTTCAACGGAAAAACTTGCGAGAACAAGTGCGGCGTGGCAAAAGTGAGACCAGAAAGAAGATGACATTCGCTCTCCTTAGCAAACGAGTAGGAAGAGCGTTGCGCACCGTTTCGCACAATCAACTTCAACGCAGACGGTGATTTATGATTGCGATCTTGAAAGGACGCAAATAGTATCCGATAAAATCCCTTTGGCTTTGCCACCACCAACCATTTTTTTTGCCGCTATTTATTGTTGATATAGTTTGCCTGCAGCTCCGCCCAATCCAGGCCACGATGTGTTTTGCCTTTGCTTCCGTCGTAATTGTCAACCATGCCCGAAAAAAAAAAACTTTGCTGATGAGCATTCCTCCGGTGATCGCAATTCCGGCTTTATGCATCAACTTCAACTTGTGCCAAACGTTTGAGTTGTGTTATCCTGCAATTTTTTTTTATCTAAAAAACTCTGCGTGAGGACACCTCGTCCGTTGTTTGGCACAGTGATGTTCCCATTTCGTGTTCATCTGCAGTCGCTACACTTTCGTTACTTAGTGCCTTCCATCGCTGTAATTCGATACGTCTGAAAGCAGCTTGGCAACTTCGTCTGGTGAAACCGCTTCTCCTATGATCAGCGGGTCACCTCGACGCTTGCCGTTGCGAACAGGGAACGCCTTGGCCGTCAGCAAGTTCAGTAGTTGCTCTTTCTCCAGCAGCTTCTCAACCAGTCGTTGCCGCTCCGAAGAGCTCAAGCGGCACTCAGATTGTCGACCGTGCTGCGGGCTGCCTAACAAACTGCCACTGCTGTGCGACGGCATTACGAGCGGAAGCTGCGAGACGTGCGAAATGTCACCGCGAATGTCTTGAACGCACTCCTTCAGGATCATTTCGAGCTCTGTGTGGTTTTGCAGCTCGAGTTTATACGCTGTCCTCACTTGCTGCAAATTCCTTCTTTCCACTTCCAACAACCGCTTCAAACGTTTGATAATCTCCTTGTACCGGTTGTCACTGTCCGATGCCATTGCTAAGGTGCCGACTCCTGCCGTGTTGGGACGTTGTGCCAACGCAAGACTAGTCGCTGAATCTCGGTAATGAACTTTCGGCAGAGAACTGGTGGATGCTGTGGCAAATAACGATTGCGACTGTGAGTGATGGTGTTGCTGTTGCTGTTGCCCTGATTCTCGTAGCTGATCTAACTGCTGCCGTAGAGTTTCCAGTTCTGTTCGAAGTGACACGTTGTCCTTCTTGACAGTCACGAGTTGTTTGACGAGAAATTCGCGATCGTTCTCTTGTGTAGAGAATTGCGTCTTTAACCGCTGATTTTCCCGTGTCAAGCTCTGGTTTAACCGGTCAAGTCGATCCGCCAGCTCCTTCGTCCACTCCACTTCCGTCTCGAGTTGCTTGCTCTTTTCAATCCACGCGGAAGCACCATCGTCAGTCTTGTTTTTCTCGGATTCAAGCTCCTCCTGGACACTATATAGTCGTGCTCGAAAAGCTCGCAGAAGATCTTTTTCCTGCTCTATTTGATAAACACACAAAAAAAATCAGTTCCATTGTCAAATATTCAAATGGCAAAACCGCCAACATCACATACTTGCCTTGCAAAATTTTGCTGGTACGGTCTTGTACTTGATCCACACTATCGAGAATGCTTCGATGCATTGCGCGCACACGATCCATCGAGGCATCTAACGTGTTCTCTTTACTCTTTTTTGCTCGAGAATCTGAGAGCAAAGCCTCCAGCTCATTAATCCGAACCTTGTACTGCCGTTCTCGTCGTACGTAGCTCTCCTGCATACCAAAGTTTGTGTAAGAAATGATACCTAGAGGATGTAGTCTAACATTGACAAACCTGTCTCCTAGCAAGCTCCTCATTCATCTGGGTCACGATGTCCTTCTGTTCGGTAGCATTGCCGTGCTCATCAAAGGGAGGAACTGCTGAATTCTGCTCTGCAACGGCGCTTAACCCCAGAATCTTGTTGCGGAACTTAGCCGTGCTGTCTTCAGGACTGCCAGGCTGCACACAAATCATTAAGCACGTTGAATTTAACAGAAGCTCCGAACAGAATTTACCTTTCGCCCTGCCGGTTTGGCACCTTTACTGCCTCTCGCAGGCATGAAGATCACTTCACGGTGTTCAATTACGCCGCCGATAGCGGCAACACGCGGCAAATAACTGCTACATTCTCCTTTACAGCCCATATGCGTTGCTGTGTGTATTTTCAGACACGCAAGTCACTAAAAATACGCTAACGTCTCGATATAAAAATAATACTCTACAGTTGAAAAAGTTATCGAATGCACTCACACAATCTAGTTGTATTAAGACGGCAATACATTATCTCACTGAGCCGCGTAATGAACCTGTCGGCTGTAAAGTGTTCACTCCATTTAATTACCGCATCTGCAAGGGGTCTGTTGTCAATTGGGTCTCCAGTACCTGCAACTCACGGCTAATTTTCGAGATCGCTGCGAGGTGGTGAGGCAGTGGCGACTGTCTCTCCATCGTGATCGGGTGCATCGTCAAATACGACTGCGCGTGGAAATCTCTCAAGATAGCAGTCATCATACTGGGCGACGCTGACTCTGTCACTTCGCCGTCCTTGGAAGCGGTGTCCTCCTCCAATAATATATGCACCAGAGTCACCTTGAGTACTCTCGCCTCCCGCTTCCGAGCCAGTGTGTGTTGGCCGTGTAATAAAGTGGTGGTCTTCCATGCATCGCTGCCTGTAAAATACACAGCGCGGCTACTATCACGAGCTGCTGTGTTCTCCCGAGGAGTAATTACGGCGAATCCGAGATTGTCGGACACGTACAGCGCCGTTGAGGACGGATCTTCGCGTAACTGCACCTCATCGTACGACGCCGCTGTAAGTTGTACGAGTAAAACGCACGATAGTAGCGGCCTATACGCTGAAGGTATCAACGTCTCCAACCGATTGGACCGCAATTGCTCCCACGCTGACTGCTCTTGATCGTCCATAGAAGCACCAGACAAGGTCAGTCGTGTGACCACGAGCACACTCTTGTCACCGAAGAGCGAGAAAAACTGGAGCATCTTCAGCATCATCTCAACTAGCGCGCTTTCCAGTCCCTTATCGTCTTCTTTTACCGAGATCATGTATGTTTCAAGAACGGAGCCAACCGCATCAGTACAGCTACATGCGATCCACTTTCGATCTTCTGAGAGTAAATATCCTCCATAAACGTATGACAGCTCCTTTTCACCTTCCTGATCGACAGTAGACGCATCTGTCCGCCAATCTGCCAAGTGATACAGCCTCTCGCAAAGGAAACGTGATCGTCCTGCACCACTGGAACCCCCATCGACCGGTTTAAGGTTCACGTTCTCACACACACGGTCGTACAGACCGAAGCAGTTGGGCATCAGCATGAACGGACTTGGGTTCACCTCCACTTCATACAAGTCGTCCAAGTATACCATCTCTATCGTCACACTGTCTTTCCACCCGTTGACTTCAGCGATGCTTTGCGTTCCAAATAACCCACTCGAAAAAGCACCCAACGCCCACATTTTGTGCTTCACATCGCTTCGACGGAACGGAGCCACTAAATACACCACATTACCCACGGCTGATCTGGAAAAAGCTTGTGTCTTTTTGATCGCACCGGACGACAGCACAGGGTTTAAAACTTTCCCAGCGGCGCGGAAATTAGCGAAAGGGTCCTTCATACTCTCCGCGCAGTCCACAAGTAACAGTCCGTTGGAAGCGTCCACGTTCGCATAGTGATTTCCTTCCACCGAGCTCAGATCGATTGGGGCCAAATCGCCCATGTGGCATTGTGCGTACATGCTGCGAAAGCACGTGAAGTACGAGAGCGCGAGGGATGCGAGCCACTGTGATGGAGACTGCGGACAGACGATCACGTAGTCCACTGGTTTAGGCGCCGCTACTGGATGCAGATCGCGCAATAAATATTCCGAAATGATAGCGGGTTCGACATGGTAGCTCGACTCCAGCGTGGACACACAAATTCTTGGTTCTTCCACCCGGACGCGTTCTATTCTCCTCACGTCGCTCGTCTTCGTCGGAGCTTGCGTGTAGTCCTCAAAGCTCATCCATCGTCGATCACGTCCGGCTTTTCTAACGTCGCTTTCGTTCTTGTCCCTCTTTTTCAGCAGCAAAATCAGACTCTGTATATATGGCTGCACGCGGTCCGCCACCTCGTCCTTCTCCGCAGAATTTGCCGTTGTGACCTGGAGATTCGAGTGTGCAGACCACGTTTCAGTCCCGTTCGGCTCTTGTCGCCACGTCACCATCGCATCGGACGCTGACATCTGAATTCCAAGTGAAAGTTCGGCGTCGCGCAGCTTGAAGCAATCGGAATCGCTCCATAATCTCAGCGATTCCTGGCGCGCTTGTTCTTCGAACGCAGCTTCGTCAAAGTCGAGCAGGAGACGACGCCGTTGTTCTTTCTTCTGCTGGCGATTCTTCGGGTACTGCAGCTTTGTATACTCGGATCTCCAGAACTTGAAGCGGTCCGAGTACAGACGTAGACGCAGCTGCTCAGCAGTTGCCCGGTTTATTGAGAGGCGACCTACAGTCGCTCGAAGTGGGGGCGGCATAAACGCCTCTGCGTTGGGCAAGAACTTGACTTTGGCCGATACACTTGCAGTCAAACGTTCCTCCATCATCTTGGCTTCATCGTCGACGTAGTCTTGCAATGCCTGTAACAAAGGATGGGTCTTCACAGGTCGACCATCCAGCGCCTCCTGTTGCTCGTTATGAGAGAGCGACTCCACTAGAGATACAGCCACACTCAGAGGCTTGGTATCATGCTTCGGTCTAGTGATTGTGGGCTCGGATTTCGACAGAGATGCCCTCGCCATGGAGAAGAGTTGGGCAGGGTTCAGTGCAGGTCCCTTCACGCCATTATTACTGAGCACTGACGGCTCGGTTTTGATATTTGGGCCAGTTCCATTGGCTTTGACTGGTCCAAATGTCAAGGAAAACGTTGTATCCTTGCCAGCCTTCACTTTGTAGCCTCTTCGCCGCCGTTTAAAGCGCCGAACTTCAGAGTCTACATGCAACTGCAGCTCGTCGTCATGAGGAAGTGTCATCCGGATGATCGGGCCAGTAGCATCAGGCGTATTAACGTGAGTGTCTGGAGACACAGGAGCAAAAGACTCGTCGTTCTCTGTGGAGTCGGCGCTCTCACGCTTTCGTTTGGCTTTGGCTGCTCCAGTGGCCACAGGACGTCGCAGCAATTCGTCCGTTTCCACCTCTGCTTCCTGGTTATTGTCTTCCTCTTCTTCCTCTGCGTCTTCTTCGTTCTCATCCTTCTTCACCTCGTCTTCGTGTCCACTGCCGTCGCTATCATCCATCCTCCGCCTATGCCTCCGCTTCGAGACAGCACGGAACCAGGGCGACACATCCGTATACTTGGTCTCAGCAACTATACGCGGCACCAAACCGTCCTTCAGATGCCACACATCCACCACCGAGTGGTCTTTTTGTGACGGTAGACCCATAAGTCGCTCCCACGAGCACCTCGGGTCCCCCAATTCGTCACCAAGCGACGTCAATGCGCCATCTCTCCTCACCACATCCAGCGTCACAGTCAGTAAATGACTCGGCTCAAACAACTGAAAATGCAACTGAAAAACCGGCACTGGGATCTCCTCCTCAAGGTACACTTCCACATGGTTCAGCTTGGTCAGCGATGGACAGCGGAAAACGAACTTGGCATCGTTAGGCTCGTAGAATCCGTCGTCGGTCAGTATAAACTCCTCCTGGGCGACTAATTTCTTGCTCAAAACGGAGCCCAGAGCAGCGAAAAACTGCTTCTGAATAGTCTTATCAAGAGACGTTGTAGAGTCCGACCAGGAGCCTGTGGCGGTCTCACAGACGCCTGTGGGAGGCTCAACAGGAACTGCACTTTGCATACCGTTGACTATGAACACCCAGAGCTCGGAGGAGGGCGGTGTAGTGTCCTCCTCCTTCTGTTTGGCCTCGTTGAGGACACACACAGCGTTGCGCTGCTGTAGACGTTGGTGAAAGATCGACAGAGCCGCGTCTTCGGTCTGCTTGGGCCCGGACTTGGCTGCCTTCTTGGAGTTCGTCTTCTTCTTGCCTGTTTCTTCTACTGGCGCGACGCTGTACACGTGCCATTGCAGAGACAGTAGCTCGCACTATGTGATAAAGTATGAGAGGCAGGTTAGTACGTCATTTCCGACAAAGCATAAAGTTAGAGGGTCCGAATGCAAGGGGAACCATCACTCTGGGTTGGCGACGTACAAGCGCGAAGCAATTGGTCGTGAGCGTCGGAGCGGACCGTGCTCGCTCCATTTTGAGAAGCCTAACGTGACGAGAAGGTTCACCCAGAAGCTCAAAGAGTGGCAAGAGACTTCTTCACGCACTGCCACAAGCCCGAGGACAAGGCGATGGTATGAATTTTGGTATGCGGGCGCGGACGCAAATAGTATCGATTTAAACAGGTAATATAATGTGTGTACTGCACACCAAATATCAACAGCAATGTACATGGATGGCTACATTAGACTTCAACCACGAGCGACGCCAGATAATTTGCAGTTTGTTGATTCAGTTTTCATTTCTCTAGTTGTTGCCAACAAACGCAATGGAACCTGGCGAAGGCGTGCCCATGCTTGGCGTCGGTAGTGACGCCGTCCTTGCCGCGCTGGCCACCGTCGTGCGCAAACCCAAGTCCAAGCGTCAGACCGCAACGACGCGGAATTCCAGCGTCACAGCAATCCCAGCATCTACAACAGTTGCGTTTCCGTTGGAGACTGCAGCTCCACTAGTCCAAGATATTCCTACGCTCGAGGCTGCTATCCCCACCGTGTTACTCAGGACCAGGGAAAATTCTGCGATGGTCAACGACTCAACTGCCGCTTCTGCAGAGGCAACCAGGGTCGAGTCTCGATCAACGGACAGTCATCGTGTTGCAGACTCGCGCGTGCTCGGTATCGCGAATGACGCCGCCATTGCCACCATGGCGAGAAAACACAAACGTAAGCCTGCAAAAACTTTTGTTCCGACTAACGCCAATTCACCTCCAAAATCTTCAGCATCACTAGCATTGCCGCTCTTCACGTGCAGTGTCGGCTCGCTAGTTTCGAACTCACTCACGCCTGACATCGCTGGCATGACTATCCGAACTACACTTGATACCGTATCATCTCAATCCTCTGACGATTCATTGCTGGTTTCGCCGTGTTTTGCAGCAAACTCGCCGATTACTGACACCAGTTTATCAGCTGAAGACCCGTCGACGTTTGGTATTGGCAGCAGAGATACATTAGTCAAGCCCAAACAACCCACACCGACCATCAGCCACCACTCTCACCCAACGCAAGCGTCCAACTTTGTGGACTTGACAGCAATTCGTCGTGTCAATCCGAATTCTGCAGATATTGTGGGCATTCCTACTGCAACTTTTAAGCAGACCACCACCGTCGTCGACTACTGGTTCAGTAGTGACACTCGTGGAGAAAACGAGTTGGTTAAGTACACCAAGGAGGCTACAAAGACAATCAAGATTGGGGTGGATACCTTGAATCATGATGAAATGATCAGGGAGCTAGGTGCCGCTGTTGGTCGAGGCGTTGTCGCCCAGCTCTTTATTGATTTCAAGGCTTGCAACGGAGGACTTGCATGGGTCAAAGAGCTTTTGGAGGCCGGTGTCGAGATGTGCCATAGCACAGAGAAGTTCGAGTGGAAAATCGCGCTTTTTGACGGTCAGATCCTCGTGCAAGGCTCGCAAAGCTGGATGAAAAGCGATCTACAGGAACTCAACATGGACTACACTATCGTCCAGACTGGATCAATCGGTAAGAATCTGTATGCTGGAGAAGTTAATGCTTTCTTAACGCTCTACTCTCAAGTGTCTGCGTTTGAGTGTCAGTTTGACAAGATGTGGAAGGCTGCAAACAAGAACGTGACGAAGCGAGCAAGAACTTTTGCAAACACCGATCAAAGAGACAAAACAGAGTCGTCTGACTCGGAGGGATCGAGCGAAATGGAGCCAGGCAAGAGGCGTAAGCTAAGGAAGAGAACAACCTTCCCTACAACCCTTCAGTTTTTGGAGATGATGGGGTTGTAGACCTCACTAGTAGTCACTGCATCCGGTACGCACGACCAACAAGCGACTTTTGTGTTTCCCAAGTAGATTTTTGCAATGCAGCAGCCAGTCAAACATGCACCTTAACGCCTAACGGCCTCCAATTCCTTCAGGTCAGTGCAGCTAAACCCAGTTACGCTTTCTGCATGGTGGCTTCAATCTCCTCCACGGTTCGAGGCACTTTGCTCATGCACTCGACGCCCGTAGCGGTAACTACGACATCCGATTCAATTCTGACTCCGCCCGTGCCACGGAAGCGAGACAGCATCTCCTGGTTAACGAACTTGGCCGTAACAGGGTTGGCCAGCACTGCCTGGATCTGGGCCTCAATGAAGTAGCAGCCCGGCTCCACTGTCAGCACCATGTTCTTCTCCAAGTTACGCACACAACGCAGTTTGGCCAGGATCTTCTTCGTGGAGCGCTCGTAGCCGATGGGGATGCCGCCAACATCGTGAGTGTCCAGGCCCATCATGTGGCCCAGACCGTGAGGGTAGAAGTACGCCGAGATCTCGTGGTCCATCAGCTCGTCCACCGTGCCATTCTGGAACAGTCCGTACTCAAGAAGATGCTGCGTCAGCACACGATGCGACAGCAAGTGCATGTCCACGTAGCTAACTCCAGGCTTGATGGCCGTCATGACGGCGTCGTGGGCCTTGAGCACGCCTTCGTAGACCATGCGTTGGTCTGAGGAGAACACGCCGTTCACGGGCCACGAGCACGTGATGTCCGACGTGTAGCCATGTAGCTCTCCACCCATGTCGTTGAGGAACAGGTCACCATCTTCAAGGAGCTTGTCATTCGGCGCTCCGGCATGGCCATAGTGCAGCGCCGAGGCGTTGTGGCCACTACCGCAAATGCAAGTGTACGCATGGAAACGAGCGCCTCCATTACTGTACACATAGTGCAAAAAGTCACTCTCGGCGTGGAACTCCATCTTGCCCGGACGGATGTTCTTCATCACGTTAATATGCGCGCGAGACGAGAGTTTGTTGACAAAGCGAAGCAGCTCCAACTCCTTCTCCGTCTTGATCACACGGCACTCCACCAGCACTGGGTGTAGCGCTGCCTTATCTACCTCGAACTTCTCAATACCTTCGAAAGTCGACGTCGTGGTCGTCTCCAGACCGCTGTCCGTGTTCTTACCGTGCAACACGTACAGCTTCTTGGCCTTGAGCTTATCGGCCAGCACGGCCGCCATCTCGTCCATGTAGAAGACCTCGTCCACCTTGTAGTGCGCCTTGAAGTAAGCCAGTGGCTTTCGGTCGCCGCACCAGAGCTCCCACTCGTCGCTCAGACGCGGCACGAACAGCACAGCCTTACGCGTGGCCAGGTCCACGAGGCCCGCGCATCCAGGCTCGCGCACACCGAAGAGATATTGGAAGAAGCTCTCCTGGTGGAAATTGTACTGAATGTCCGTGTCATAGCGGTCCACCTCGACGCCGCCGTGCAGCAGGATGGCGGCCGCGCTGCTTTTGGCCTCAGGGTGGATCTGCAGGAACTTGTGCACGACGTTCTGGCGGATCTGCACGTGCATGGAGAAGTCGATGGGGAAGAGCTCGTAACCCTCAGCCGGGTCGGCCAGTACGCGGCCGTTCTGCACCATGGCCAGGTGAGTATGACCGTTGCCGGATCCGTTCATGGCCGCGCCGTTTGCGCTTGGTCGGCGCTGGCCAATGCTCTTGCGGTTCTTGGGGTCGTAGGCGGCCGCGCGTTTCTTCTGCAACAGGGCGAGGGAGGCCATGGCCGCCGTGGCCGTGGCCGCGGCCAACAGTCCGTTCACATGCTCCGAACTCATCCCCGATGCTCAAAGCGCTTCCTTCACGTTTGTTTATGCCGATATTTAAAGTCGGGTGTGGTAGAGAAACGTGTACATGTGGTGTGGCACTTGAAAGCTGTACCGTGTATGACATTAGAACTGCCATGGCCAACTGCAATTTGTTTTAACCAATCAAATCGTTATATTCCTCTGATAGGCGAAAACCAGAGACTAAAACGATTTGATTACCGTGCCTCACAAAATAAAATGCTTAACAGAAAAACAGCGTTTTTTTTTCTATTTGAAGAATTTTTGCTAACACAAAAATACCAGATTTCACACCTCGAAACAAAACTGAGGCAACTTAGAACCATCTAAGCATTTGCCAAGTAATCCTCTCGTCTCATGAAGAAGATTTTGCCCCAGAACAAGTGGAACGAGCGGTGACTGAGAGTACAAGAGGCGCGAACACAGATAAACCGCACTCAAGCTCAAATCCGAATAGTGATCTATATGCAAACCGATCTCTTAATACCGATAAAGAAACGATATCTATGCTGGAAAGTCAAACAATTGATCCCTCCTGATGGAAAGTACCACGAATGAGGAAGCTGTGTTGGCTATAAACGAAGACCAAAACGAAAGCAGTAATGTGAAGTACTTTCTAAAAAGACTATCAAGACCCGCGTACAGCAAAAAGAGAACTCTTTCAAGAGCACATCGCCCGACTTAAGAACAACGATGTATATAGCACGTGTGCTCATTCAGAACCACCACGTGGAAGATTTAAGCTGAGAGAAAACTTACTATATCAATAAATCAGTTCATTTACTGCATTGAGAAAGTTTGTATTTTGCTCACATCTTCCGTGATGTCGTCCCTGGTGATTTTTGACCAATGAGAATTTTGTTTCTTTGCTACCACACAAAAATAGCAGTTTCACGGGAAAAAAATCAGGTAAGACGAGAGCAGTTCGGAATTGTGCCAAAGCATAATTTTGTGAGGTAAGGTAGCTAAGATTTATGTAGTATAGTATTTTAAGGACCTGCATACATGTATTTTAATACATTTATTAATTTAAAATAACTATTACTTGATCCCTTGTCTTCGTGTCGGGAGGACTAAATATTATTCAAGGTCTCAAAGTATTGGAAAACCTCAGCGCTTTCGATGGAAAAAAAATACTCTTTCAACGTGGCCTTGCAGCTTTTCGGCTTCAATAATGCCTCGAATTTCCCTGCTACCGTGAAATAGAACCGCACAGGGCGACAACGACCTGTACCAGTGAAGCCGTTGCTGAAGAAAAGCTATGCAAAGTTATGAGCACAGCGATCGGCTTCGCTAAGCCGATCGCTGCGCTCATGCTGCGAAGAAAATCTCAGCGTTTGTGCTTTTTGACACGCTTTAAGGTCTTATTATGTGCTCTGGGCTTACTGTACGACGTCAGTCAGTTATACCATCCACTTCTGCCCACAGTGGATGATTCATCCAAGTCTCACCAAGTTAGATAATTGCATCCGGTATCCGTATATACTTCACCGAGTTCCTCGGCGCCTTACGCTGAACATCATAAGGTTAACCTGTTCGGTGTTCAGAGATAATCTGTAGATTCTGTTGGCTACGCCTAATAATAGTTTTCTGATGACCATCTTGGACTAGCTGTTCTCAAACAGCGTTGCCTTATGTATTGGGTAGTATAACTGGGAGATTTTCGATCTCGTAGACGCCGACTGGCAGTGTTCCCTCGAGCGCTGAAGTACTCGACTATAGTATTGAACAAATGCAACACTAATAATAATAATAATAAGGTTTCCTATAGTTGACTTTGACCTTAGGAGCTTTCTACATTTGCAGATGCATTTCCTCCTCTCCAACTCTTGTATAAAACTCTATGGCCTAACAAAAGGAACTACCATAATTTAAGCATGGGTTTATCAATATCCGAGTGGTTTGTTGAGGTTAACCATACATTTTTTTCACTGATAGTAAGTTCGTTTGCTTTTTGCAGCTTAGTGTTAACGGCCTCCCTTTCCAGAACTCTTTACTTATTGGATTAAACTACCTACATGTGCCAGTAAAACTGAAGATGAGAAGGCATTAACGTTAGTATGCTTTATCTACCAGACACGAGCACTGGTCAGTCGGAGTTGAGAATATGTAATCTATCTGAGTGCACTACATGTAACATATGCCCATGACGACACAATGCTTAGTCGCATAAAATCCAGAGATCTTCCGTGCGAAGCACGGCTTTGTAATATTTTAATGTGACATAATTGAACAGGTTTGTGTGGCCTATCTTCGATCAAATCTCAACGACGATCATCTTTGAAATTTCGACCAATGATAATCACGGTGTAGTCTTACAGGGCTTCAAGCACCTCCGAATCAGACATACTGAATGGGTTAACCCTTTTAACCTGTCTAGTACTAGCGACAAATCATTAATTAGTTGCTAACTAATCCAGGCATAAGAAAGCTATGTATGACCGTGACATACCAAATAAATGCGCTTAAAGTAATGGGCAATAACCGGGCTTGGGTTAAGTTCTTCTGTATGCCGGGGCGATTCTGGGCCGCACAAACTCTAGGATAGGGGTATGTTTACAATTATCAGTACATTTCCGGGTTTGCCAGCACACATTCGGTTTATGGCAAACTCAACGTATTGTAATAGCCATTGAGGTGGCAAGTTTTGGATACTTGAACAACTGAATTAACCCAACTGCCAAATTTTGTGATGCTCATGTTGATAGAAGGTTGCGTTCCTTTCGAAAGGTTGTCATTGCGCGATTCACTCCCTAACTCCGACCAACCATGCGTCCAACACAAGCTCTTGTCGCCACATTAATTGTTCTCTTCGTCTGTAGCAATGCCATTTTGGCAGCTAGATCTCCCAAGATGTCAACGATTGTTGCTGACCAAAGGCGTTTGCTGAAGAGTGATCACATCATTGAAGCGGAAAACGAAACCGCTGCAGAAAGGGGCTTCTGGAGTACACTGGGAAAGAACATTAAAGTGCTATACTGGTTGGAAACCAGGCAGGCCGACGACGCAGTCATGAAGAAGCTACACCTGGACGGACTAAGCGGTCCAGCTCTTACGGCTCACAAGAACTACAAGTTTTATGAAAAATTCGCCAAAATGGCTTTGGACATTCGACTCAGCAAGCGTCTTCAAAAGGATACCTCCACTTATCGTGTCTGGACGGAACTGGGCTTCGGGAAGCTTACCAAAGCGTCCGACCTCGCGGGAATCATTGGCAGCGATAATTTCCAGATCTACGCGCGTTACGTGACTAGGTTTGACCAGATGAAAATTGAATACTCGCGGGCCTCGAATTTTCGGAACGCAGTGGTGATCTCTAGAGAGGTTCCGGAAGTGGAAATGGTGGCGAGAACGCTTATTTTGGCCAAATCAAAGTGGGGAGAGGAGGACGTGAAAATATTGCTGGGATTGACTGTGCCCGGCAAACCGGGATTGACTTTAAAAGGTGACGCTCTGAAGAAGCACGTGGACTACAAATACTTCGCCGAGATCATCCTGAAGGAAAGACAGAGACTGAAAAATGAACCGCTTACATTGAAAGGGCTGGAGCGAATCTTTGGAAAAGAACTCACTCTGCTTCAACAAGAATTGGGCAAGTACAAATGACAACTGACCCGTCTCAGAAACTACCGGACTCCTTCTCGTCCGCCTAGGTGTAGAGCAGTAGAACTTCATTTTAATGCATTATGAAGAATGTATTAACATGTTAGATATGTTCTTGATAATGCATGTCTGTTGGAGCTAAAAAAAAAAAAAACTGAAAAAGATGCTGGCTATACCTGTTGTTGCAACATGAGTGTCTGTAGTTATATGCAATTACTTCTATCTTGGCTCTGGCAGGTATTCTTCTTCACCTTAGAGTAATCAGGAAACGTCAGTGTGTTGACAATCCGGACCAGTTGCAGACCCTTCTCCATCTTGATCGCGCGATGCTCCACCAGCACCGGGTCTTGTCGTCCTCGAATTTTTTAATACCTACAAATGTCGACACTTGGTGGCTCCTTTAGTTCGCTACCCTCGAACATCTCGCTGAGGTTGAGCACATTGTTGAGCGCTCATATGTATTAAAGTAGACCCAGTAGCGTGTTGTTACACTACTCAGCCGGATCGGCCAAAAGTCACTTGATCTACTAACGCAGCAGGGCTGGCTTCCGGTACAGGAAAGTAAACGTCGACACGAACTTGGCGGTCGTAGCCGTCACCAATCTTTCCTCATTATGTGAAGCTTGCTTTGAAGATCAACACGCTACAGAAGTCGACGTCATCGTTGGTCTGAAACCTTTAATAATTATTATTCGTATATGTGTCAGCTTATTCGTAGTCGTACTTAGCTCATAACATTCGTGATATCAAGAAACCAATTCTGAGAAAACATAGCCATCAAATTAAGCCCCAATTTACATTTCACTTGAAGATTCTGCAATGTTGATGCAGCATTTCCGACACTGACGTGAAGCGGCATCTTGAGCTGGCATTTCGGATCTGTCCGCCTTCCGCGCTCTCTTCCTTCACCTCCTCCAGTATGGACCGCATCAACCGCATCCGCTCGCACGTGGCCAACGGCTCGCCCGCGCCCGTGACGCCCGAGGAAGACGTGGTCATCGTGTCGGCGCTGCGCACGCCCATCACCAAGGCTCGTCGCGGCGGCTTCAAGGACACCACGCCCGACGTGTTGCTGGGCCACGTGCTTCAGGCCGTCCTCAAGCAGGCCAAGGTGGACTTCAAGCTCGTGGGCGACATCGTGGTGGGCAACGTGCTGCAACCCGGCGCTGGCGCCGGCATGGCCCGTATGGCCCAGCTGGCCGCGGGCATCCCGCACACTGTGCCGCTGCATGTAATCAACCGCCAATGCAGCTCCGGCCTGCAGGCCGTGGCCAACGTCACGGCCGCCATCAAGGCTGGCTACTATGACATCGGCATCGCGGCCGGCGTCGAGTGTATGTCACTGTCCGGAATCGGCAAAGACCCGCCGACCGTCAACTGGGAACGCGTTGGACAGGTGCAGGACGCTATGGACTGCACTGTGCCCATGGGCATTACGAGCGAGAATGTGGCCGAGAAGTACGGCATTTCGCGCACGAAGCAGGACGAGCTGGCGGCCCTTTCGCACGCCAAGGCGGCCGCGGCCCAGGCCAACGGTTGGTTCAAGGAGGAGATCACGCCTGTGTCCACTGTTATTAAGGACAAGGACGGCAATGAGAAATCGGTCATCATCTCCCAGGACGATGGTGTGCGAGCTGGCACGACGGTCGAGAAGCTGGCCAAGCTGCGGCCGGCCTTCAAGGAGGGCGGCTCCACCACGGCCGGTAACTCGAGCCAGGTCAGTGACGGCGCCGCTGCCGTGCTGCTCATGCGCCGCTCGGTGGCCAAGCAGATGGGTCTGCCGATCCTCGGCCGCTTTGTGTCGTACGCTGTGGCCGGTGTGCCCCCCGCTCTAATGGGCATTGGCCCGGCCTACGCCATCCCGGAGGCTCTGCAGAAGGCCGGCCTGCGTCAGGACCAGATCGACGTGTTTGAGATCAACGAGGCGTTCGCCAGCCAGGCCACGTACTGCGTTGAGAAGTTGGGTATTCCTATTGAGAAGGTTAATCCCAAGGGTGGTGCTATTGCTCTTGGCCACCCTCTGGGCTGCACGGGAGCTCGTCAGATGTCGACGCTGCTGTACCAGCTCAAACGGAAAAACCAACGCTATGGAGTCATCTCGATGTGCATCGGTACGGGCATGGGCGCTGCTGCTGTCTTCGAGCGCGAGCCATAGGCTACTAAAGACTTGGCCAGAAGGAGGGAAGTGTAGTTATCTGTGCTTATCAAAAACAATTCTGCTGATTTCTAAAAAATTGGCTCCATTGACAATTTTGACAATATTTCTAACGCGTTGAATGTCGAACTGGAGTAGACTTCGTTGTAGCATTCGATGCCTTCGCTTCAGGCTTTGGGATAATTGGCAGCTGGACTACTGCGTCGTCTTTCTGGTTTTCATTCTTGCGACGTCGACGAGATCGAGTCGGAGAAGGTGGCGGATTGACTGGAGGGCGAGCGATCTTCTTCACCCACGAGATATCGCACAGCTTGTCGTTAGTTAAGGCACCGCCAGTTACCCATTCAGGCTGAGGCTTCTGCACTATTGAGCGTGGCTTCTTGAGGACATTGGATTGTCTGGTGCGTTTGCGATCTGAATTTGGTGGTGGTAGACGCTCTTGAATTTCTGGCATTGAAATGTCTTCAGCTTCCTGGTTTATCCAAAACGATGGTAAGAGTGATTAACACGGTGAACGAATAGGCAAGTGCTGAGATTTGTGTAGCACCTTGGTCTGAAGAACAGGCTTTAGATACGTCCTGATTAAAATTTCGATCAAAAAAAAAACAATAAAAAAAATGTCAGACATAGTAAAAAAAAATCACAGCCTGATTGCAACTCACAACTGGCGTCCACGATGCGAGAAGCACTTTTTATTGGGTTGGTACCATTCACGCATATGCGAGTATGCCAACGTCTTGATCTTCACCTCTTCTTCGTCATTTTCCTCCAGTTGTTGTTTCTTCAGCAGCTCTCGTCTCTCATTCTCTTTACGTTCTTCCTCTTGTCGTTTCCTCTCCATTTCCTCCATGCGAGCAGCTTCTTCTAGTGCTTCCTGTTCCAGTCGTAGCTGTCGCGCCTTGTCAATCGCTATTTGCTCTTCGATGGTACGATTTGCAGCAGCCTCTCTCTCTTCTCGAGCAGATCTAACACGATGTTGTTGTTTCTCCAGCATGGTCTTATAAAGCGAAGTTAACTAGCAACGACACACAAGTTAGAGTCGCAACACTATAACCCACTTACTAAGAATGGAAAATCCCCTACCATTGGAGCTACAGTTGACGAAAAGCAGTCCATCGTTAGCGAATCCAACACTTCCTCAACGTAAGATGTATTAGGAGAAAAATTTCCAAGATCAGCCTCCCCGTCGTCCGTATTCTCGTCGTGTTCTAGTGCTTCTTCCATCACACCGTCACTACGCAAATAGAGTGTTAGCAACTTTACGGCAGAATTGTTTTGGACAGTACACTTACCACAGAATGATCTCCTCATAGTTCTCTCTAGACGCAGGTGTCGGCTCTTTTAAGCAAGAAACACCTTCCACTTGTAGCTTTATCTCACTCATGTCACCACTTATACTTTCAGACCCCTTCGATTCCATCGGTATTAACTGCACATGCTCCATCGACTCTCCTTCCAGCATCCTCGATCCCGTGACCTGCAAATACTGGAAATTCTGTTGCCAGTGCTGGAATTGTGGAGGTCTCTTGAACCGATACTGGTCGCTCATGTACACATACGCAGGAACGCTCCCTTCCTCTGCATTTGTTCCTTTGTTCTCCCCACTTGCAGGCGTTGAATCCACTAGCGGCAACTGAAAAAGCTGTAAACCAAGCGTCAAATATCAATAAAATGTATACCAAAGACTCCGACAGCCTCTACGCAGCACTTGCTTGTTCCTCTGTAGCCCTTAGCAGCTCCAGTGTACGCTTTTCCGCCTGAAACAGTAGGCTTCATTAGAATAATCGGGTTAACTTATCTATGAGCGCGAGTTTTGAGTGAACGAACGGCCACCTGCGCCTCAAACTGTTTGAACGCGTCGGCCAGACCACACCCTTCTTCGTCCGAGTGGTGGATATAGTCAAAGTCATCAGCGTCGTCGTGTTCGGAGCCTGCATCGACGCTGGGACCAGAGCTCTCAATTTCCATTTTTGATGAGTCCTTTCAGGATCAAACGTAAATTATCATTTACAGTGAAGTTAATATGTCGACCACCGAAAGGCAACTCTAAAGTTGAAGCTATCTTGAGCCATGCGAAGAAACAACAAGCAAAAAGCTTTCCAACAATACAAGAGAATGCGCTCATGCGCGAATGAAATGCATGCCTAGCTCTTGATTTGGAGCGTGGGATAATGGCTGCGAATTGTCTAAATGAAGAGAATGCAACTTTGACAACCACGCTTCACCCCACATTTGGTTCTCTCTCGTAGCGACAAGATGGATGGATCGTTGCCGTCCTACGAGGCAGCAATGCGTGAAGCGAGGGCGTATCTACGTCGTCGAGACTTGTCGTCTGAAGACGAGATCCCTCTGTACTTTGCATGGCAACGTTTGTATGCTGCAGCCAACGCCAACCTCAGCACGGACTTTTTGTGTGAAACGCGTGCAGAGCGTCGTGCTCGTCAAGAAGCACGGCTGGCACCACGTCGCGGTATCCCACCGCCATTGTTTACTTCATTCGACAGAGCTCGTCGCACTTCCGCTCAAGCTTCAGCTTTCCTGCGAGCCGGAACATCATCAGATGCTGCGATCGAGATGATGGCGCGTCGGTACCGACGTGAAGCTGAAAAATTGCGCTCGTCCAGAGATAAATTGTTGAGCTCGTTAGATGATGCAGAGAAGCGAGCCAAGAGAGCTAAACGACAGAAATCTCCACTCCAAGAAGTGGAAGATCTGCTCGGAAATGTTGAGCGTTCGGAGGTTCTTTCGGATTCCGATGATCCACTTTCAGCAAAGACTGTAAAGGGCAAGTCGGCAAGATCTTCGAGTTCTGCTGCCAGGCGAATGAAGAAGACCATGCGGCAGCAGGAAGCTGCAGAACTGGACTCGGATGATCAACTTGATGCATCGAAAGTTCTACCGAAGTCGAAGGCACGTATGTTTACCGGTGGTAAACTTGGTGCTGGTAGGAGCGCAGATGACTTTGACGATGAGATCGGAATCGGTGTCAGTCCAGCCAAAGCAGCGGCGTTGCGAAGGTCGAATATACCTAAAGTAAACCCAGCGACTATGCCGTCGTTCTCAACTGATGCGAATGTGGCGGCATTTTCTGCTCGCGTTGCAGATTGGAGGATGCCTCCGGACATTGGTCGAGCGTCTTCGGCGCCTGAACTTTCTCCAAAAGGAACAGCACGAAAATCTACTGCGAGTGGGAATGGGAAGCGTTTGAGCGGAGCAAACGAGTTACGCGAATCTACACCCGTTGAGAACGATAGGGCCGATGTGATGTTCGAGACGAGTTCAGGGAGCTCTGGAATGGTGGAGGATGGCGTTGGTCTAGGCGCCAGTATGAACGTCGATGCTCGTGTATCACCAATGGGTCGACACAGGACTAAAAGGGAAGACGTCGCTGAGGACAAGTTGAAACCAAAACGAGGTCAACAAAACGCAAGTAAGGAAACTGGGGTTAAAGTGGTGGGCGATCCATCTCGCGGTTTATCCGATGCCGACCCAAATTCGATCGATAAACAACAAACTCTGTCAGACATCGGCGGTAATGCTGCTCAAAAATCTGAATTCCAAGAGAAGCTCCTTCAAATATCGCATGCAGTGGGGGACATGCAGGTGAAAATCCAGGGTAAACAGATCGAAGTTACGTTTAAAGGTGCACTTGACGGTGAGGCTGATGAAAAAGACAGTAAGTCTACTGGTAAAGTTCCGGAGTCCTCCTTCAAATCGGATGAAACCAAGCAGCCATTCGCGGATCAAAAAGTATCGGACACATCAGGATCTACCTATGATGAACGTGCAGAAGAGCGAGACAATGATGACAACATAACACAAGTCAAAGCTCAGGATAAAGATGTAAATGTATCACACAAACCAAGCAACGTTAGATTTGCGGAGGTGGCCCTCAATGCTGATAATGAAACCCACAATGTGGAGGGGTCATTGGCCAACGAACCAGCCAGGCAAAGCAAACCCAGTCAGCAAAACCTGGCGGGTGGTTCTGTTGAAGTTCCACCGGCGAAATACCAGGGACGACCACGTCAGATTCCAACTAGCCAACCACACGAAAGTGTATCGAAGCGATCAGCACCAACAGTAGAAGCTACTACTACTGAAAACAACGATAAGAGCAAGGATACAACAGAAACTACATCTTTGGGAGAACTTTTTCGCTCCGGTAAGCCACAGCAAAGCACCGATGGTGAACGAGGAAATTTACGTCATGAAGAAGATAATTCCGATGAAGGCGAAGATCGAACTGATGCTGATTCCACCGGTGAGCGTGTTAAGGCTCAAGACGCGGGTTCAAGAAGTAAAACCGATGACGATACCTTGCGTGAACAAGAGTATCGATTTTCATCCCCTAGAGAGGAACTAGGAGAACTAAAGCCTAGCACTCTTGAGTCTGCCAGTGATTATCAGGGGATCCATGCCGTAGACACAAGCAATAGCCTTAGAAGGCCACCCCACATTCAGTCGAAAAATGCGGATCGTTCCAGAAACCTACAACAAAAGCAGACGAGTGACGAAGGTCAGAGTGATTTCGAACGTGATCTTCGGACTACGGCAAGTAAGCGTGCAGCATTTCAAGAATCTGCTGAATTGAAGTATAAGGATACAGAACTTCGAGATAACCGAGATTCAAACTATGAAGGTCGGCACAGCGATGATAGTGCCCACAACGCTAAAGAAAGCTTTCAGGAGGCTGGTCACCCTCGCAGTGGTAAAGGCGGCTTTGACGACGTTGAAAACAAGCATGAGAGTACAAAACGTCAAGATGACCGTGATTCATACTCTGATGAAGGACGCTGCCGCGAACAAGGGAGAAAACAAGGTAATAGTGGCCACGAGGCTGAAGAAAGTTTTCAGGTAGGTGGTCACTCTCGCAGTGGTAAAGACGACTTTGACGAAGATGATCGTAGCACGAAGACGAATGTACAACCGTCTAGAACAAGTAAGAACGAGAGATTAGAGGGCAATAGGCAAGAACAACTCCATCGCGACCTTGGGAGACCACACGAGGACAACGCTCCCAACACTAAAGCTGATATTCTGGAAGGAGTACATAGTCGAAGTGACGAAAAAAATCTGCCTAAAACAAGTGATCGCGCTGAGATTCATGACTCGACGAGCGAGATTAAGGACTCAATGGGGGGTCATTATCGGCCACACTCTAAAGGATCCAATCGTGAACAAATGGGGCAGCAACAAGAAGAAGCTCAGGGCGTTCGTGACACTCGGAGTGATGGGCTTCGATCCACCCGCCGGAGACCACATGATGCGGCTGCTCATGATGAGCGAAACAATCGTGGTATTGAGGGATTAAACAAACCTAAGGGTAGCAAGTCTGTCGAGCAGACCTCAAGACCGAAACGAGACAACCAGGAAACCTCGCTGAGATCGTCACGTAAGACTACTGACACTAGCGGTGCAGCTCATGAACTGAAGTCGAGTTCAACAGGACGGGATGTGAATGCGTCGCCAGCTCAAAAGGACAGCGAGTTCGACTCACAGTCTTTCAGTGATGCAAGCGAAGATTTAATCGATAACAGTGGCAATGATAGCGAAATGGACAGCGACGACGCGTTTTCCATACCGATAGAGAATGATACCCAGCGCTCCAGCAAAAAACACAAAGAACAACTTCGCACAAGACGACACAAATCTCCCGATTATGAGCAGACCAGTCAACGTGCGTTAGCGTCCAGAAAGGATAAACCTCGTACGTCGCGTCCAAGTCGCAACGAACGCGAAGAAGCTCCTAGCGATGAATCGTTCAGTGATGAAGACCTATCGGATGGTCCAGACTCCCCACACAGACGATTCCAAGATCCACGACACCATCCGTCTGAGCGGGTTCTGGATGACAGACAGGAAGCTCGTTCACGAAACGACAGTAAACGGATTTCGTCTCAATCCAAGTCGTCTCGACACGCGGTATCCCACGACAAACGACGATACTACGCGACCGACTCCAGCGATAATAGCGATGTCACCGACCAAAGCGATTCCGACTCCCAAGACGAGCAGAGCTCCGATGAAACTCATCACCCTTCGTCAGCTCACCGCTCACGTTCCCGTCAGTCAACCAAAACGCACCGTCAAACGTCTCGAACTTCGACGCTCGAACCAACTCGTCGAAGTCATTATCTTCCACCAAGTATGAACCTCATACCAAAGCGGAGCAAACCAGGCGTCCGAATGAAAAGAGACGATAAATCGAAAAGCAAAACCTGGTCGAGCAAAGCAGCGTACAAGCTCCCAGAGGGGATTGTGTGGCCTCCTGGAATGGAAAAGGAGTGCATCGCCCGACTCGGTCTTGATGGGCATCACCCCATAGCTCCACCAGGGCTAGAGCACCTGGTAACAGAGGAGCAATGGGGGGATTACTGGACATGGCTGCATTGGTACTCATCGTGGCAGATGTGGTATTTGAAGAATGGTAAGAAGCCGAAACGTAAATCGGACAAGGAGAAGCGAGGTCGTCGACATGCTGACATTGACGAAACTCTGGACTACGAAGCCAAATACCACGACAAGCATGGCCCTAAGAACGCTAACTGGTGGGTTGATGTTGGCTCAAGCAAGCGCAGACACCGCCACGATCGCTATCGTTAATTGGGTTAGATTATATCAGCAGAATCACAGGAAACACAGTACCTATTATGATAGTTTTGTTAGAAGTTAGTTACCACGTGACGGGTTACTGCTTTGAGCCGGGTAGTGCTGCTTATTTTTCTATGCTCTAAAACTACAAATACGACATGCATTCTTATGGCCAAATATGGGACGTACATGTGGTCGTTTCATGATGCTTCTATCACTGCAATAGGTGACGAGAACGAGGACGAAGTGGTCTGGGTTCGCTGGCTTTGTGAACTTCAGAAAGGCGAGCAGCTCAGTACCACCTCGTATGAAATATGATGGAGGTTAGCGACGTGACAGATGAACGGACTAATGGGCGAAGTCGCGAGATCGAAGAACCGGAGCGAACGAATAAACCGCACGCAGATGAATCTTCAGTAAAATACACTCAAGTTGAGCCGATTCCTGCATTGCCACCGACCACATCTGACATCAACTCAGCAAACCCGATAACAGAAAACCTCGTCACCAAGTCGTATCTCGTGGATAAATTCCAACGGAGGAAAATCTCCATCTTCTCCGAGTTAATGACCAAACTGCTCATCCGTGACCTCCCGTTATTGCGTTCTCCAAGATCAATCCAAGCCCTGGAGTGGAGAGCGCGTATCAATTTCTATCTCACGAATCCAGAGGAATCTCATATCGGTTGGAGACTGCATCAGATCTTGATGTTGGTGCTTTTTCTTAATGTTGGAGTCATGGCGAGTGAAACTCTAGATGGACCGCGATACGGCAGTTCCGACCCCGATTTCCCTTACATGCTTAGCGAGGCATCTTACAATTATATCGAGACATTATTCACATTGCTGTATATCATCGAGTTTCTAGTACGCTGGTCCACTGCGTCTAAACAAGCTCAGTTCTGGAAATCAATATCCACTTGGATACGTCTGCTGGCTGCAATAGCAACTCTACCAAAGCTGGCTGCGCTTGCAATGGGAGAAGATACTCAGCGAATGGAAGTAATCATTTATAACTTACGCATTCTTCGAGCAGTTCGACTAATCATCGCAGCTCAGGCTTTCATTGGGACAAAAGTGCTCTTCCGCGCAGTAGCAGACGCCATCCCCCCTCTAACAATTACGGTAAGTTCTCTCTCTTTGACGATTGACGAGATGAAGCTAACCGTATTATTCGCTTTGAACTAGATGTTCTTTCTAATCACGGTCGTGATGGTGTTTGCTACCGCAATTTTCTACGCTGAGCCGTGTTATGATCTGCAAACGTGCACATTCACCGACATTTTCAATACCGGATACTTTGTCATGCTTACGTACGTACTACAATTCTATTTTCTTTAAAAAAGATTCTAACCAATATTTTTCAACAGTGTTGCCACCGTGGGCTACGGAAGTCAAGTGCCGTCGATGCACAATGCCGGATCTCTTCTACTTGTCTGTATGGTGATGATTTTCGGCACGATTTACTTTTCCATGCCGTTGGCAATTGTCGGTATCAAGTACGAATTAGCGTGGACAGATTACGACGAGTACGCGAAGAATTTAAAACAGAACCAAAGCGAGCCGACCAATCCATGCAGGAAAACTTCCAAGCTGTCCGCTAATATTTCTCGACGGGATATACTCAACGCGATAGTCGGGGGCACGAACGAGCCGGACGATACACTACAAAAGATCGACGCACACGTCATCAAATACGCGAGTTCCGTCACCTGCGATCGGTTCTACAAACTCTCCCAAGCCATTTTGGATGCCAATTTTGCGCTTCAGTGCATTATTAGTCCTCCAGATAACGGGTCCAATCCTCCGATGACACTGGAAGCTGTGATCCAGTCTACAAAACGACGCAGCGATGCAGCTTCACATGCTTTAGATGGAGTCATGTCAATAATTAAACTACACTCTCGAGTTTGTGCAGAAGCTCATGAACTGGTACAAGCGGCTCTAGCGTCAAAAAATCAAGAAAACGACTTGGATCGCTTCATGTCGAGCGGCAAACTTGTTCGCAAGGACCCGCGTGGCTCGCGCAGCACTACACGGATGAGCGTGGCTAAAGGGAAAATCGCGGCAATAGGCTCAAAGGCGATGAAGGCCATCACACGTCATGATCGTCATACCGATACGAACAACCTGCGAGCTCAGATTTGGAACATATTCGAGTATCGTCAAGATATCTGGCAAGCACGGATCATCAACAAAATGCGAATGATCTCCGTGGTGCTCAGTATTGCCATGTTCTACTTACAAACCACACCAGAACTGCAGAAAACAGGACTGCAGACATTTCTCTGCCTTCGAAATGTTCACGATTACTGCGCGCGATACGACGAACCTGGTTGCTACGTGTTTAAAGAAGTTCCGTCGTCTGGATCTGGGATTTCAGTCGAAGTGACAAGCCAACGTTTAGATCTTCACTGCTCTATTGGCGACCCCGATGAATCCTGCTACGGATCAGGTGTAAACTTCGCGTCGGATAAGTTTCCCCTTTCCTGTAGTGACGTGTTTCCATCACGTTCTGGTGTCGAGCATGTGTGCAAGAATCGCCTGTGTAACCCTCCGATACAATTTCTATTCGACATGGAGCCGTACTGGATCTACTTTGAGTTCCTGTTCGGCTTGTTGTTCACTCTGGAGATTGCGTTACGCGTGTACTCGCACCCCGTGCGACGCCATCTTTGGGGAGACATCCGATTCATTGCGAATGTTCTCGTTCTTCTCCCGTTCTACGTTGATATTGTGGAGATATTAATCGGGGAATGGCCAACGTATTCTGTTGTCCCAGCTATGCCGTCGTTCTTCACAGCCGTTCGCTTTTTGAAAAGCCTACGCATTCTCAAGCTTGGAACTCACATCCCCGGTGCTCGTGTGTTGATCAGAACTGCTCAACTGGTCACGGAAAGACTTGCAATCCCGGTAAGACCAGCGTTGTCTATACACCACAACTTCCCACCCTCACTGTCATTACGTTTTTTTTTCTTGTTGTAGCTTTTCTTCTTGTTTTTGGGATGTGCTGTCTCTGCGGCTGTATTTTTCGAGATGGAGCGTGGAACGGAATGTTTCGTAGGATCTGTCTGTATGTGGTGGCACAAAAACGTTTTAACGTCCGAGATGTCAGAAGGCTTGCCGATTGGAAAGCGCGTACTTGTGCAGAATACTGTAGTGACCATTATCACGGATATGTTGCGCTCGACTTGGTTCTCGCTCGTGAGTTTTACCACCGTTGGCTATGGAGATCTACATCCTCGAACATCACTTGGAAAGTTGATCGACATTGTCGGTATGATCTTCAGTTCGTGTTACACTGCTATGCCACTTACTCTGGTTGGCGGTCAATTCTACATTTGTTACGAACTTCATGCACAAGAAGAAAGGATGAAGAAGGTAAAACATCGTATCGATATTGTTTATTTGTTTTAACTATAACCACTAACAGTAATGCTTTTATTACCTAGGAGCGAGCTCTAGCACGCATCAATCCTGGCAAGATAACTACACGACCGGTACCTCAGAGCAGGCAGTCGTTTGTCAACGATATTGATGAGTATGTTACCGGTCAAGTTAACTTACCGGAGATTAACAATACGGACGTAAGTGGGGCTATCGATGACCCCAATGCAGTACGAGCAATGTCGAATGTTGCCTTATCACCCCCCACAACTGCTCGAGACGAAGAGCCTGCCGCAGCGCCGTACACAAGGTTAACCGATACTGAGGTCATCAACCAGTTTTTTCTTATGCAGAAAGTTTTTCACGAAACGATAAAGGACATTAGTCTTCTCAATCAATTGGGAATGGAGCGAGTGAACACGATGAGGAAAAAATTGAATGAAGCAGCTACTCTTCTTGCAGACATAAGACGACGCGAAGAAGTGATCGAGACCAAAATCTCGGAGAATATGAACTTTTGTGTGGTACGTTGTTTGAACAGAACTTTTCCGCTTTGAAAAGGTTAACCTTTATTTTACTTTTTACAGACGGCATGCTTGAACTTTGCGGCGATGGTGGAGCGCATTATCGGGACGGAACGAGCTCGGAAGCCGCTGCCATCTACCGGTCATACAAACGCTTTATTGGCCGCTGCAGACGTCACGAATGAGTTGCTACAGTCAGCAAAGTCGACTAACAGTAGGAGGAGCATCAGTGGCAAGTTTCCTGACGTGCCCAGACTTCAGGCGAAGAAAACTTTTAAGAGGATGGCCACGGTATCGAAAGTCTTGGCGGTTCCGCAAAATCGATCAGCGAGAGCCAACGCGAAATGGGCCGAGTACACCAATAACCAGAACCAGCCTCAGCCCGAATAATTGTAAGGAAATGCAAAACTGGCAGCTCGTTGCTGCGTTTTGAATTGAATCGCGTCAAGTTACGACATACAAAATTGCTGTTCGATCCTCAAAATGTTTCGTTCGATTCCGCGCATGTGATCGTCAGCTTTAGTTGCTGTAAGTGGCCACGTAATGGCTAGTGTGGCAAGAAGCGTCTTCGGAGCGTCATAGCTCAATAGACCGCCAGCTCGTGCCTTGAAAATGATGATCTGTGCCGAGCTTAGTACTCCTCGTACTTCTCATCGAACTCCTCATCGTCACCCTCGGCGGTCTCGGCCGATACCTCCTCGTAGTCCTTCTCCAGAGCAGCGAGATCCTCACGAGCCTCTGAGAACTCGCCTTCCTCCATTCCTTCGCCCACGAACCAGTGGACGAACGCACGCTTGGCGTACATCAGGTCGAACTTGTGGTCGATGCGGGAGAACACCTCAGCAATGGCGCTGGTGTTCGAGATCATGGCCACCGCACGCTGCACGCGCGCCAGGTCGCCACCAGGCACAACCGCCGGAGGCTGGTAGTTGATACCGCACTTGAAACCGGTCGGGCACCAGTCGACGAATTGAATAGTACGCTTGGTCTTGATGGTGGCCACAGCGGCGTTCACGTCCTTGGGGACGACGTCACCGCGGTACATGAGGCACGTGGCCATGTACTTGCCGTGACGAGGGTCGCACTTGGCCATCATGGAGGTTGGCTCGAAGGCGCTGTTAGTGATCTCGGCCACCGACAGCTGTTCGTGGTAGGCCTTCTCAGCCGAGATAACCGGAGCATACGAGCTGAGCATGAAGTGGATACGCGGGTACGGCACCAGGTTGGTCTGAAACTCGGTGATATCCACATTCAGCGAGCCATCGAAACGCAGCGACGTGGTGAGCGACGAGATGACTTGAGCAATGAGACGGTTCAGGTTCGTGTACGTCGGGCGCTCAATGTCGAGAGAGCGACGGCAAATGTCGTAGATGGCCTCGTTGTCCAGCATCACGGCCACATCTGTGTGCTCCAGCAGCGCGTGTGTGGATAGCACAGAGTTATAGGGCTCAACAACAGCCGACGACACGAGGGGCGAAGGGTAGATGGTGAAGCCAAGTTTGCTCTTACGGCCGTAGTCGACCGACAGACGCTCGAGTAGGAGCGAGCCCAGACCCGAACCGGTACCGCCGCCCACGGCGTTGAATACCATGAAGCCCTGCAGACCCGTACAGGCGTCGGCCAGTTTACGGACGCGGTCCAGCACCACGTCCACGTACTCCTTTCCGATCGTGTAGTGGCCACGCGCGTAGTTGTTGGCGGCGTCTTCCTTGCCCGAGATGATCTGCTCCGGGTGATACAATTGGCGGTATGTACCGGTACGCACTTCGTCGCAGACGCTAGGCTCCAGGTCTACGAACACAGCGCGCGGCACGTGCTTGCCCGAGCCTGTCTCGGAGAAGAAAGTAGAGAACGAGTCGTCTCCTCCGCCGATGGTCTTATCGCTGGGCATGGTGCCATCGGGCTGGATGCCGTGCTCGAGGCAGTAGAGCTCCCAGCAGGCGTTACCTGTCTGGATGCCGCCCTGGCCGAGGTGGATGGATAGGATCTCGCGCATTGTCGTAGACTGAGGAGTGTTGGTCTTGACCTGGAGAGGGGCAACTCGGATAATGAACTGGCGGATTTGATTGAAGACGCCTTTTTTGGCTGCTGTCACAAAAAGCGAAAATGATGGGCGACTTTTTTCGCGTCCGTCGGGAGAGGTGATACCAGCCGTGGGGCTTTTGAGGCCGAAAAAGAATAAATTCTAACGCATACATGGATATCGATGTATTGAACAGCACTGAACTGCAATTTGAAATTGCTGCCCAAAGGACGTGTATCTGTTCACGGCTTCATGTAGAGTCTTTATGATAGAGGTTTCCCATGGCAACCTCCAAGATTTGGTGTCGTGCTTCTCACTGTGTGTAAGCCGTCCTGTGAAGCCGACATGCTTATGTGGTCTCTGCTAGTAGCGGTGCTACGGAGTTCACACTGGCACTGCTTTTCACCATCTTGCCCACTGCAACTCAGGTTAGGTCGGTTGGTGGCGCATTGTGTGCGCTGTAACCTTTTGACGTACCACGGATACCGGTCTGATGGTGGTACCGACAATACCGGTTGAGCCGGTTATTTTGTGTTTACCACAAAAAAAAAGATTCACGCGTCTGCGACGTGTGAAAGGATCGTAGTGAACAATTGAAGATGGACCACGCACGCCACTAACTTGGCGTTGCATTTCTAAATCCGACCCCGCACGCGCCTATTAATAATGGCCGCCAGCTATAGTGATGAGCGGTCGCCACTGCTGCGTCCAGGCGTACAGCGCATTGGCCGCCGCACTCGCCTCCTCGTGAGCGGCTTAGCGTTGTTGCTGCTGTTCGCAGGGGGTGCGGCCTGCGTCGCCATCGTCCTGCGTCTCCTTCGACCAGGAGCTCTGTCGACCATCACTCCGCTAGTATTGTCGGAGGAGGTAAGTACGTGTCCCTGCTGTCTATTAATACGTCAGTGTTAACCAGGTTGTGGGCTGCTGCTCTTAGTACGACGCCATCGTCATTGGTGGCGGCCCGGCGGGCTCTGTAGTGGCCAAACTGCTGAGTGATGATCCATGGCGACGTGTTCTGCTTGTCGAGGCGGGTAACGCGTCACAGACTCAACTGGGTGGCAAGGTTGGACGATTAAACCTCTGTAAGAACAGTTGGAGAAGCAACTTACGGAACTTGATACTGCAGGACGCGATCCCGTCACCCTTAAACTCGAAGAAATTGACGCCGTTCGACGTGCCATTCTACTGGACCAACGTGGCCAACACACCGTCGCTGCATTGGGCATATCCGGACGTGAACGTGGCTAAAGCATTGGGAGGATGTGGTATCCATAACGCCATGCTCTATGGTACATAACTATCACGTGCATTCGTTTAAGAGGTGAGCTTATTGTTGGAGCTTTTGTGGACTTTTAGTGCGAGCATTGCCGTCAGATTTGAGGCGCTGGCAGATGGAAAATTGGACGTGGGAAAAGGCTCTGGACATTTACTTGTCCATCGAGGACTTTGACGGACCTAATTCGAGCTATCACAGCAAGCAGGGATTCATTCGGACCAGTCCACCGGCGCTAGCGTTGGACATGTCCAGGGAGTTTATCGAGGCGTGTGTTGAGTTGGGCATTCCGCGCACTGCGGACTTCAACGCCCCCGATGGACGATACGGAGCCGGGTATTATCACTTCAACACGCGTGACGGTGTTCGTGAAAGTGCAGCCAAGGCGTTTCTTGGGCCCATTCTGGATAGCAAGACGGCAGAATCTAAGCGGGAAAACTTCCGCTTGATGCTTGATACGACAGTCACGGTGAGTAGATTGCTGTTCAATGAGTAGTTTACATGTTCTGACGTTTTAACTGACCAGAGAATCAGCATTAATGACGACAACGTGACTGAAGGGGTGGAAGTACGCTTCGGGAATGATACAGGACAGCTAATTCGTCTTGCTGAGCACGGAGAAGTCATCGTCACGGCGGGTGCGATTAACACGCCGAAGATTCTAATGCTTTCCGGACTCGGCAATCAAGATGCACTCAAGAAAGCTGGCTTGCCTTTGAAGAAGCACTTGCCTCGCGTGGGGATGAACCTGCAGGATCATCCCGTGATTGGAATGGTATTCGAGTACAAATCACCACGAGTTGTTGATCTCAAGTAAGTAAACAACTTGTTACATGTTTTATTCCGTAGCTAACAGTGTTTATGATATTCGTGCAGAGCGGATCTGGACTCGTACTTCACAGCCACGAACGCCAAACACACCAACGTTTCCAGTTTCGGCTTGTTTGGCTCTGCTGGTCTCAGTACTGGAGCATTCTTGATCCCTCCAGGAGCAACATTACCTGAAATTCAGCTCACTTTGTTCCCGCGAAAATCGGAGCCGCACATGTCGAACAGCGCGGGACTTGATCACATGACTGAGGTAGTTGTAACCATCGCACTACTGCATCCTCTCGCACGCAGTCGCGTGGTGCTCATTCACGATGAAAACGACTATGTTGACGACAACGACATCGATGACCACTTGATCCCTCGTGTCGTGTCGGAAATCCCGGATGCCAAACCCGAGCATCTTAGACACGGCGACGTCTGGAAAATCTCTTGGGCGATCGGCGTGGTGCGCGAAATTGCAGCAAAGCTCGGTGAGTGCGCCCCAGCAGTGTCCTTTACACACGGATGGCTAATCTATTGTTGGTTTGACAGCTGAAAAGAAGTTAATTGGGCGTGAATTATCTCCAGGCGCTGAGATCACTTCACCGAAAGGTATGTGCAGTGACCCTATTCATTTCTTTGTTGGTAATTTATCTCACCCCTGTGTTTGTGTTAGACTTGAACGACTGGGTGTTCGACAATGTATTCCGCAACTCACATTGGGTCGGTAGCGCGTCCATGGCAAATTCAGAGGAAGAGGGCGTTGTAGACAATCACCTGCGCGTCTTTGGCATCCAAAACTTACGCGTAGCTGACGCGTCCGTCATCCCGCTTATTCCAAATGGGAACGTGCACTCGACCGTGGTGATGGTAGCAAACCGTGCCGCCCAGATCCTACGTGAAGATGAAGCTGAATATCGACGTCAGTATGACCACGAAGTAATTATCTAACAAGTTCAAGAGTGTCAAGAAATATGAAATATCCTCGTCGCTTTTGCCAAAGCACAATTTCTTATGATACGATTTTACTAATGGATCCTCTGCATCAGTACATTGTTGGCGATAGTGTGGAAGCGATGGTTTACTGGGATGTACACCTTTTTTCTTCAACGGGTCGTCTAATGGGGAAAAGCTGCGTACGCAACGAAGGTGGATTGGAGTCTCAGCAGAGTCCTGTTTCGATGTCCGCGGCGTCAAGGTTCTTGCTAGGTTAATCTGCTCGTCATCATGAAAACGATATTGATCGCACTATGCTTGGTGTAGCGTCATGGCGGTGTCGACTTGGGTTACGATCTCTTTCGACATTTTCGCCGAGAATTGCGGAGCCATTTAACGTACCGTGTGAACTTCACAAACGGTAATCACATTGTAAATTATCTTTTGGAGCCTGTCTTGACGTTTGTTGCTGCTCAGTCAAAAATCATGAGCTCGAATCAGCGAGTACTAGAAAAGTATTTCCTCTCGTAATCCAGCGAGCAATTGACATTGATGAGGTGGGTGACGTCGTTGTGCATATTGCTATAGTTGTCATGGGTGACGCCAAATCAAGAAGCAATTTTATCGTCTCGGTGCACGTTGCAACACCTTCCCGACATCTTTGGGAACCTGCAAGAGACCTGGTGTCATTCAACGATACGAGGGTCAACGCCTTGTTGATAGCTAGGGACGTGGTAGGACGTGATCACTAGGCTCAGCTAAACACGTCGACAGGCTCTCAACAATTAGTGAGGTTCTGCCAGTTCGTTCATCTCTTCTATGATTGGTGTTGCCTAGGTGCAGGTCGCTGCTCAAAGGCGTACTGGTATTATTTCTGGGATTCCCACCACCAAATATGAAGTTGCTGTAGCACATGAAACTGGGAGAAACCAACATCGTTGGTTGAACAATAGTGACTATTTGTTTACCACACAGCGCTTCATTCGCGCTGTTTATCCGGCACTATCAACGACAACCTCTCCACTGCTGCCCATTCTAGAATAGAGTCGAGCAGCGTACGTAAGCTTTATTGACGACCCGCAACTCCTGAAAACGTCTTCACTAGACACACTCATCAAATCAAACAAAACTTCGCGACCAGTTTTCGGACTAAGCGTCAGCATAGTGGTTCTTCCACGTGGGATTCTTATCCTGGTAGGCTTTGGCAAGCTTTTTCCACAGTGTGAACTCGCCACTTTCAAACCAGTTAACATATCGATTACTGTCCTTCTCGAGCTTCAAGACCCTGTATGCTCGGTTAGGGTCGACACCTTTTGTCGCGAGTTTCTCCGCGATATCGTCCAATTTCATTTTCATTGCGTGATAATGCAGCTTTGTCGCCAGAGTCTTGTCGCCAAACCACTTCGACGTGGATGCCCAGAGCTTCTTTAGTACTTCCGGAATCGCCGCCCTCTCTTCGTCGATGGTGTCGGTGGCCTGGTTGTTCATTGTTTCTATTCTCAGCAACCGTCCACTTCTCAGTTTCACATCGTTAGCATCGGTCGATTGGGTGAGGTCATGGGATGCCTGCGGATTCACTGTGGCAGCATTGCTGCTGATCAGCAGGGTGGCGACAGCGAGCAGTATCATGAAGAAGGCACGCATGGTTTGTACGTTTAATATGTAAGGGTGGTTGTCGGCTAGAACTTCCCAAAGAAGTGCTGCGCCACGCAGTGCGTGTTGCTTATTGTCGATTGTGTTGTGGCAAAATGTCCAGGACCATTACACATATGGTGCGGACACCTAAAACCCGCCATTTCTCATACCGGGAGATCAATCTGCGGATATGCTTCTCGCGCGAAACGGAGAAGGACACTCAAGCAACAGCAGTTAAGTGCGTGCCTGAGACGAATAGCGAGCCGACCACCGCGCGGAGTGCGGCTCATACCGATACACTAAGAGCTTCTAGATTAAAGTACGTGATATTTAAGCATTAACAGTAAATCCAATATGTAAAATCCCTATATAATTTACCGTGCCTTTACATGTTTATCATTGCAAAACTAAGACACCGCTACGTCTTACGTGTGCGTCTTACGTGTGCGTCTTACGTGTGTGTACCTTAGAGTGATCAAGAATTCTCTAGACTCAACCGTATGGTACAGAAGAATGGATGAGCTCATTGAGCAGCTCGTTGAGTTTGTTCTCCAGCTGGTAAAAGAGAATAACATTGTTGGATTTTGGAATCCCATTGGGATGTGGAGTTAGAAGCATCTACTAGTAACTTATTACCGTACCGTAAACTTTACTTTATGGTAAAGTCCGGATTCAGTGAGACAAACGGATTGAGTGCAACGCGCGTAAAAAATAGAAAGGAACAGTTTACAAAACAAAGTACAATGGTACTTTTTACCCCCAAAATGTGTCGGGTTTATTTTTTTATATTATTAGGTAAAGATCTTTTTACGACTATCTCACTCAATCCGGACTTTACGGCGAACATGTTACCTGACTAGAACACCTAAATGGTGTTTACAAAGCATAGAATGTCAAGTATGTCTCCAAAAAAGACTTTTTACATGACCAAATTATGCACTTTTTACGATGTTACATGTTCGCCGTGATATACGGTATTGTGCCTTCACTTGTTTTGGCGGTAGAGTGTTAATTCAGGCGGAAATAGGTCCATAGAAAAGCTGTCAGGGACATATTTAATGCTAGTTAAACAAAAGATTATGAACTCTTCCCCTACACTGCTGGCAAGCGTGTTAGATCCAATTAGCTAAGATACAGACAACGTTCATGGGATACATGTAGCAGTACAAAATGCTGCAGAGGATTAATTCGTTATCTACATATATGTAAGTTGCTAACGCGAAAGCGTGACGGACGTTTTTGAATACAAATTTGAAGACAAATGTCGAAGAACAAGCCGAGCGGAGCCCCGCTAAGCGGGGCTCTTTGAACAGTGTTAAGCCGAGCTGGCAGGGCACCCGCCTCGCTTTAGAAGATAGAACTGGCTTGTGGACTGCATCCTCTAAAATAGCCTACTGACACCGCCCACTAATAAAGTGGTGTCCACAGAGCAGCCTATACGAATCTCACCACTTTGATTGGCTGACACACGCTCAGCCAGTGAACAGCTCGAAGGAGCGTGACAACTCTGTAAACAGGTGGTTGACGGTACCCCATAGTGAAGGGAGGGGAGGCGTCCTTTCACGTCTATCCTATCCTTCATTTTTGTACCAGGACTGTACCACCACCGATTCTGTTTAGATTTGCAATTATTATATTAGAGTGGAGATTGAGAGTTAACCATATATTTTTATCTTGAAACTGATTGAAATAGAGCCTTCACAGTGAAAACTAAGAACAACACGCAAGTCTCGGAAGGAAAAGAAGATAAACCAAAAAGGTGACAGAGTTTTGAGGTAATAAACTAGCTTATTGGCCTCCAACGGAGCCTGCTTTAGGTCCTCCGTTGAGTAATCCACCATGGTCATGCATATCACTGTAAGTAAAAAAGCTTCCATCGATCTCAACTCACCTGCAATATTTGGACAGTTTTACAGTTTTGCTAACATGCCATCCTCGAAATTTCGAGCTTCTTCGTGTGCAGCACAACTTATGCGCGCGCCATTGTTCAATAGGAGAGATGGCAGGTCTGTGGAGCAGCGTGGGCGTGCTGCTATGGATGAACTGGCGCGTGAAGCAGAGCGAGAGCCGATTTAACCGCGAGCGGCTCGGCAAACGCTGGCTGTACCCGGTGCTCATTACGGACATCATCATCCTACTGGGGCTTATTCTGCTGCTTATCCAGAAAATGTGCGACTACAACGTGCAGTAACAACGTTCTAGAAACGTTTCCATCCGCACGGGTTGGCACCATTAGAAAAACAGTGGAATGAAGCTAAGTTGTGGATTCAGTAGATCCAACGAATTTGTTTTACTTTAGACCTTGATATTTCAATATCTACTTATCCTTTTCGTGAATTAACCCAATTTTCTATGCCGTTTGATTTGAGCGGCAGAGGAGAGTGTGGCGAAGTGGTTCTGCGAAAAATTCTGATCGTTAAAATCCTCTTGCACACTGTGCCCGAACTGCCGACTAACGGAGGGGGTACTCCGACCTTCCGTGTTGTTGTAATGCTCACCTTGTGTACCCGTCGGTGGGCCGATTCTCTCTTCCGGTGGTCTCAGAAGCGACGCTGTTTTCTTGGACTGTCTGCACAGACATCAGGGCGTTTGACAGCAACAGGGATACTTCTACTCGCTGCGCCGGCTACGGTCTTGAGTTATCGATCTTAAGGTGAAAGATCGCGGTTCATCGATCTTGGGGCCGATGTTGATCTTGGCCCGGGGTGTATCTTATGGTTGGTAAATTGCCTTCCTTCCTTTACGCGCTTGTCGTTTCCTTTAGCGGTTGGCCTTGAGTGAGGGTTGGCGGGCATCCTGGTCAAGCAATCCAGGCGCTCAAACTTCGATCTTGCGTAGGTACAACTGTAGTGCGTCATCGGATAGGCCAAAGTTAATCCCGTGCCCGGAATAGCGAAGACGAAGAACACTTGCTAAGTGAGAAGTAAAAACAACACTATTTAATGTGTTAGCCTTGTCCTACGCCAAATCCTGTGGCTCTTTTGTCTTCTCAGCCTCTCATTGCAAACTGGCTTCACCCAAGCGATTATAGACGTATAGCGAATCAACCTCACTTGAGATCAAGTAATCCTTGGCAAGATGCATGGTACAGACTCTAACGCGTGCTCTCAGGGCGTTCGTGGCTGATGTCGATCAGAAGGACTGGAATGAGTACGCGGAACGACTGGCCTTTGCTCTCAATACGACTCAAGATCGAGTTCGTGGTGACATGTCGTTCTACTTAGTTCATGGATGGGATCCTCGATCTACGTTGGAAGCTGCGATTACGCTAGGATCGGCACGGCGTCGAGATCGAGAGCCCGGCCGGTGGCGTTATCACATCCAGAGACACTATCAGCAGGCTCGCGAACCAGTCAGTGAACGTCTGCGCGAAGCTATCCAAGAGAGAGCAGATCGGCACAACGAGGCGACACGTCCACACAAGATCGAGGTTGGTTCACAAGTATGGCTGTACTTAGATCGCGTAAAGGAGAGATACGCACATAAACTGGCGCACATGTGGCATGGGCCGTTTCGAGTTTCGGAGGTCGTCGACTTACATGCAGTAAGATTCGAGATCGCTGGGTCCGGCTATCACGTGTTTCCAGTAGTACATGTGTCCAAGTTGAAACCAGTTCGGAGATTCCCAGATTGTCGAATGTGAGGTTGGTGACTCAAGATCAAGGTTGACTCGACTTCGGTGAAGGACTATACCTGAAGTCAGCTGGGGCGCTGAGCTCGACGAAGACGAATACAAAGTGGAACGCATCGCGGATATGCGAACTGGACGTCGGACACGCTACGGACGGAGGCTACGCGAGTTTTTGATCCACTGGAAGGGTTACGAAGATCCAACGTGGGGCGACGAAGCCGATCTTAACTGTGGAGCACTACTGCATGATTTTCTGCGTGACCAGATCAATCGAAGTTGATTCGGTGTTATGCAGTCGCACGAGGAGCAGTAAGGAGGCAAAATCGTGGGTGAAGATACTGCCACACACGAGTGATTGGATGACGGTTCTGCGTCTGGTGCGCCGTTCGCTTGAAGGCGATACGCTAAAGCCGCTCGCTGTCTTTATCCAACGATCTTGTTGAACGATCTGAAGAAGTCGGACATGAAGCCAGGTTCTCGGTCATGTCTGATCGCCTCACGGACGCCAAATCCACAAAACACACACTCTTCGTAGCTTTCCACAATAGTCCGAGCAGTCCTTGAGCAACTGGCTTTAGCGATCTCGAATCCCGTGAAGAGATCCACCCAGATCAGCAACTCCGTGTTACCTATGTACGACTTAAACAACGACAGGATGTGGTCCATAGCGATAATATGGAAGGCGTAGGTTGCTTGAAAACTTCCTTGTGATTCACCTTGGATCGACGGTCTTCCTTTCCGGTTTCGCAGTCTACACACTGCCTCACATAGCGCACACTCTGGCATAGTCTTCTTCAGTAAAAATTTGCCCGAATGCGCTGGTAGGTCCTCCCGATACCTTGATGTCTACCTTCAAGACTGATATGGATGAATATCGTCACCGTGCCGACAGTGAAAATATACTGCATTAAAGTATACCAAATGGGCCCACAAAATACGACATTTGTGTTATCTACCAATTAAAACCAGCATAAAAGATATTTTAGCCAATAAAACCGTTAGGGGTAGGGCAACAACTAACCGACAACTTGCCGATGCATTTTGTCGGTATGCCATTAAAAATATGGTCAACTTGTATAGAAAACTACAGTTAAAATGTGATATCATTCATATCCAGTCATTTGCCGACGTCTGACTGCAACAATGTATAAATTTCCTTACTAACACATTCAAGGCATCTGGAACAAGCAACACGAGGAGCAGATACTGAGCCTTCAAGATCTCGCCCCAGTAAACTCTCAACGCGCGAAGCAGACAGCAATTAACGTGTTCCATCGCTATCTAGCTTGCGAAGGCGTTACGATGGGATTCGTTGCGTCTACTCTCGCTCGTGATGACAACGGCAATGTCTTCATCAAGCTTATGGACCGCTTTGCTGTTCACCTGGCCTTCCTAGAAAGCCGCGATGGAAAGCCGCTAGCTAGAAATACAGTGATGTCGTACTACCGGTAAGTGAAGAATTGGCTGCTTGATAGCTACCCGAAGAACCGTGTAGCAATCGAAAAAAAGTTACTCAAGATGGCTCAAACTTTAGAGCACTAATGCATTTCGCGACAAGAAGGCACTCACATCAAGAAGGCACCAGCGTGCACGAAAAGAGATTTGCGTATTTTCATGGACGGCCTCTATTACGATGCCGCTAGTGCCAAAGATTATTAAGATGCGGCTTTATTGGCGTTGATGTGGTATGCGTTTGGTCGGGCTTCGGATCTCAGTTTTGTTCCTAAGACAAGTATGGCGGTGATTGCTGATGGTGTAATTTTTATTCGTCTAACTTGCGTGAAGACTTCTGAAGAACCGGGTCTGTCACTTTTTCCCGACAAGAACAGTTTCATTACTTGTCCGCTGCATGCTATTGGGATGGCACTGGTAATGCAACAATGTCCTGGTATGCAGATATTAGATCTTCCTAATGTTACAATGGGGGGCGTTGAAGTTGTCAAATTATCTGACGACGTTTCTCTCGAAGATGCTTTGATTGGTGTTTCCGAAGCCGGTGTGACTACTGCCTCAAAGAACAAACAGAAGCAACCGGATTCCAGTGT